TGTATTTTAACACTTTCCGTGCACTAATTCTACCACCAGTCTTTGTCAAACTTTTGGGTAGTCATTTTTTTGTGTTATTTTTCTCTCACAATGTACTTTAGGCATGAATTCTCAGTTCCTGTTATGTATTACTGACAAAGAAAACCCCAAAATGTGTTCAGCAACATCTCCCGAGTACAACAGTGCCCCCAATGTACAGGTTTTATGGGTTTTTAAAAACTTACAGGGGTCAAATGTAGGGCTTTCCCCTTTTCCATGTTTGCACATTGAAATTTGCCAGATTGGTTTGCTGGGCCTATGTTGCCTTTGAGACCATATACCCAGGAATGAAAATTAAACCCATCATGGCATACCATTTGTAAAAGTAGACAACCCAAGGTATTCCAAATAGGGTATTTCCAGTCTTTTGTAGTAGCCACTTAGCCACAAATGCTTGCCAAAGTTAACATTTTTATTAGTTTTTTATAAATGTTTTTTTTTAAATTTTTGTATGAATTATATATATATATATATAACACGTGTGTGTGTATGTGTATATATATATGTGTATATATATATATATATATTTATACATACATATATATGCACACATACATATATATGTGTGTATGTATGTGTATATATATGGGAAGGCGGAGCCTGGAGTTGTGGGAGGGGGTGATCCGGCCTATTTAAACTCAGACTTACCTTCTTACCATGCTGACGATAATTGGTCACCCCACCCACCACTCCACATATTCACATATATACAATTCTACCTTGGTGGGCCCTCTTTATTTTACAGGCCTGCCCGTACATTCGGTTTTGGCACACCACGACCGAATTTAGCTAATAACACAATCTACGCTTACTCTGCTAATTTCCCTGACCACATATACATATATATATATATATATATATATATATATATATATATACAGAAAAAGGGTAGTAACATCCTGATGAAAGTTTGGGTGAAAAACTGAAACATTGATCTTTTAAATTTGGAAAATAAAAGTTTAATTTTTACACCTTTGGAATCATGGGAGTGCTATCTCTACGCAATTTGTTTTATATGTATATATATATATATATGTATATATATATATATATATATACACACACACACATATATACATATAATAGGTGTGTGTATGTGTATACACACACACACACACACTTTTATTTTATTTATTTATTTAGTTATAAAATATTTTACCAGGAAAGATACATTGAGATTTCTCTCATTTTCAAGTATGTCCTACATATGTATAATATATTATAATTAAAGCATTTATAATATATTATACATATATAATGCATATATATGATTTAATTATAAGTGTATTTTGAGATGTATGTGTATGAAATCATATATATTCATTATATATGTATAATATATTATAAAATGTTTTAATTATTTTATAATATTTTATATATATTTATATATATATATATATATATATATATATATATATATTATTTATTTATTACTTTTAGCAGCCTGAGGGACTGTCTGACAGCTCAGACAGTCTCCCTGCTGGCAGCTCCTAGACTCCTATTGCGGCGATGTAATCATGGTGATCCAATGCCTCTGGCAGTCCCCCTGTACTGTGATCACCGCTGATCGCTGGTCCAGGTAAGTCCAGGGCTCCTATTTGCCGCGGTCGTACTAGGTACGTCTGTGGTACTTAACAACTATTTTTTTGTCGGACGTATATAGTACGTCCACGGTCGTTAAGGGCATATATATATACATACATATAATTTATAATGTATATATATATTAATATCAAAATACAGTTAGAATGAAAATATATATTTATAACTATGTATATATATATTTTTTACAAAAATATTTTGTTTATTTTTAATTATTATTTATTTTATAATATATACAATATATATATAGTTATTATATATATATATATATATATACACATGTGTAATTTTACTCTAAGTGTATTTTTATATTAATATATGTATATATTAATAAAAAATACACTTAGTATGACAATATATATGGTATATTAATATATACATGTATTATATATAGATATAATATATGTATATATATAGATATATAGATGTACCTCATATATATATATACACATTTTTTTTAAATTTATTAACTATTAACTATATTTTTATTGAATTTTTACTTTTTAAAACTTTATTTTTACTTTTTCACCAGCAGGAGGACTGCCTGTCAGTTCAGGCAGTCCCCCTGCTGGCAGCACTGTGGACACCTTTGGGGGCCATGTGATGGCCCCTGGGGGTCCTAAATTAGAGAGGGGGGACTCTCTGGGCTCAGTCCAGAGAGTCCCCCCCCAAAGAAGAAGACCGATCGCCGGCGGGGGAACGCGGCAATTGGTAAGTACATGGTAGAGGGAGTGGGAGGGATTCATTTTTTTTACTATTTACTAAGTGCCTCGACCCCTGAGGCACTCAGTATAGACAGAGCATCGGAAGCCCGTCTGAAGGCTTCCGATGCTCTGTTTCACTGCCAGGCTCCACATGGAGCAAACTGGAAGTGATCACACGATGTTCTCCAGGGGCCACCGGCAGTGAGGGGGTATTGCTGCGATGTGTCAACATTGAGGTATCACTGTAATACCATTAGAGCTGCTGGAAGCGACGATCACTTCCAGAGCTCTAATTACCCCAGAACTTGTCAGGTACGTCCGCGGTCCTTAAGGACCGTTTTTGTTGGATGTACCTGATACGTCAGCGGTCGGGAAGGGTTTAAGGATGTGATTCCTATGTAATTTTGTAAGAATGGTTTGAAACTAATCCAGGTCCTTCCTAGTGCCTGTTGCTGCCTCCCCTGGTGCTGGAAGCTTCTGCCACTGAGATACGTCCAGCCATGTAGTTAAGTGCTTATTGGTTGGGAGTGATCAGTTGATACTCTCAGCATATCAGCTAGCCCTGTACACCAGAGCAGCAGGAGAGGCAGTGCAAGCACCTGGCATGACCCAAGTAAGTTGTCAAAGTTAAACTACATTATCTGGGAGAGTACCAAGGCACTCCTGGCACCATAGTCACCACATTGTAATGTTTATGGTGCCTGCAGGGTTCCTTTAAATATTTCCATTCGAATATCAATGCCGAATTTGCCAGGACAGTGCCACATATTTTGGTACTGTCCCAGCAAAAATAGGTCCAGGATTTTGAATTCAAACAGAGTATTTAACAGTCTGTCTGTGTGTATTCTGAAGTCTGCATGTATTCATCAGTCTGTTTGTGTGTATTCAGCAGTCTGTGTGTATGTATTTAGCAGTCTATGTGTGTATATTCAGCAGTCTGTGTGTGTGTGTGTATATATTCAGCAGCCTGTGTGTGTTTATTCAGCAGTCTCTGTGTGTGTGTATATTCAGCAGTCTGTGTGTGTGTTTATTCAGCATTGTGTGTGTGTTTGTGTGTGTATTCAGCAGTCTGTGAATGTAATCAGCATTAGCCTCTGTGTATGTATTCAGCAGTCTGTGTATGTATTCAACAGCCGGTGTGTATTCATCCGTCTGTGTGTATTCAGCAGTCTGTCTCTGTGTGTTTAGCAGTCTGTCTGTGTGTGTATTTAGCAGCCTGTGTGTGTGTATTTAGCAGTCAGTGTGTGTGTATTCATCACTCTGTGCGTATGTTTTCAGCAGTCTGTGTGCGTACTCAGAAGTCTGTGTGTGTATTCAGCAGCCTGTGTGTATGCATTCAGCAGTCTGTCTTTGTGTGTGTGTGTGTGTATTCTGCAGCCTGCACATATCTATTCTGCAGTCTTTATATGTATATTCATCAGTCTCTGTATGTGTGTATTCAGCAGTCTGTGTGTGTGTCTGTATTCCGCAGTCTGTCTGTGTGTGTATGTATTGTATTTGTTGGAGGTACCAATAAATATAAGCTTAATTTTATTGATAATTTTAATTTTTATTCCTGTGAATGGTTGTGTAGGCAGAGCACCAGTACACTGCTTTGTCCCATGGGCCTATTATGCTGTTACGATTGCCCTGGTCTACGGTATGTGTCTGCTCTGAACATGCTCCTACAAAATGTAAATGAAAAGACACTTTTTTTCAGTACCACGAAGGGGATGAGCTTTAACAGCCACTTCTGGCCAGTAATAGGTTAAAGACTTCTAGTGCGTATGTATTTCTCTGGGTTTTTATTTTTTGTAGCAATTTTTGTATTGCTAAGTAATGGGTGTCAGGTTTTTTATTTTCAAAATGTGGTCTCCCTCCCTGTCCTTATGCCCCCACCTGTCATGCTGTCCATTTAATAGAAAAGCCCCTTTGCATGGGATTGAGCCTGTTAAAAACCAGTAGGGTACCATGTCCATCCTGCCCATGGGCATTGGGAGGTGGACTTTAAATTAGACAATGGGGTTTGGACAGATCACCCTTGGCCAGCTGTGGGGACTAGTTAGCGAAAAGGGGAGGGTGCATACTAATGTCCCACCTATTCTCCCCCCTCACCCCCCCTCCTGTTGTTAGCAGGTGGAAGCCCTAATTGTAAAATTAGATGGGGGTTGGAACTAAAGTTCCCCCAACCCCTTCAAATTTCCGGTCAACTGACTTGGAGAGTTGTTTCTAATTCTCCTATTCTGTCTTGCAATGATAACTTCACTTATCTTTTATGAAAAATTCACACTTGTCAAATAACTGTGCAGGAAACTTAAATATGTTTGTCTGATCTGATTCTACTTGTATTTATTTTTAAAAAATTGTATTATTTATACAGCGCCATCACATTCCATAGCGCTGTTTTTTTATTTATTATTTATTTCCTTATTTAATAAATGAATCAACAGGGAAAGGCATATATGAATACAGATAAAAGAAATGGATGGGGTGTGGGGGGAATGCTCTTGAAACATGGAGTTTGGCTGCTTATTACTAAGACACCAAGCATGCTATTCACATGGCATCCACAAGGGATGAAGGATGCAGATACGCCAAACACAACATGGCGGCAGGCAGCCTACAAGCAATCATTTTCACGTCGGCGTTGCCATGTTTTGACCTTCACAAGATGGAGTCACGGCAATGACGTTTCAATGCTTTGGATAGGGAAGTGTGCCAAGCGCTCTCGCGAGATGTGAGCTGTCATGCTGGTGACCGCTGCACGGTGTGTGCTTTGCTGTAGCCGGCGGTTCTCCGCAAACTTCTGGGGGAAGCGGGAACATGCTCTGGGGAGGGTGTCCGTGTTGGGTCGCAGGGCCAGCAGCAACCACACGGCCTCCGTCAGCGATACTCGCCGCATGCCTACCGTGGAAACGGTGACAGACAGCGAGCACTGGGCTAATTATCTCAGGATACTGGAGACCTGGTGGGGGGAAGCTGGTCCCACGTCCAAGGTGCCCACCTCAACTGAGGCAAAGGACTCCAATGGGGAAGGGCAGAGGCATCACACGGGGGAAAGGCCTGACAAGAGGCATTCACGGGGGCTGCACAGGGTAATCCCCTTAGTCCAGGAGTTGAGGGTCAAGGAGAATGAGCTGGAAGAGCTACAGCAACTTCTGGGAGGTGAGAGATAACATGTAAGATGTATTACAGTCTGAGTCATTTGGAAAAGATCATTTTCAGAAGTTCTCAGTATATTTTCTTGTTAAGACACTCCCGGCATAAAGGAGTGAAACCGCCACTTAGTAGAGCTTCACCTTTACAGGCACAACTACTTTAGAACCACAAACTTCCGAACTGGAACCAGGGGAATGCTCAACTCCCGAACGTTAATTCCACGAATCGCTGCCAACAGATGAACAGACACAGCATCCAAACGCCTTACATTTTCGGCAGTCAGTCTCTATCCGTGTATAGTAAATTTCCCCCCCCCCCCATCACGAGACCAAGCCTATTGAGGGTAAAACAAGATCTGGCTTTAATGAGGGCTACCTGCCCGTATTTATGCAGGTCTCCCACTTGGTGGACACTCCCCTAGGGGACGAAATGGGAGACTGTAACAAAGGACAGACAGGTATCAGATCAGGACACACAGTCACAATACATCCCCTCAATGCACCCTGGCTTCATCCTCTCTGCCCTGGAGATAATTTAGAAGTAATTCAATTATCTCCTAGGACAAAGGCAAATCGCCATTATACACGTGGGGACACCAGAATAGAAATTACTGTTAAAATATGCAGTGTCACTATAAATACAGACATATAACATACCCCCAGATAGCTCAGGTCTGAGTGCACATTATTAGGTGAATGGCGCTCAGACCACACGAATACAGTTGAATCGCCATGGAGCCAAAGTCTTTAATTCCACAAACAGGCTCCATGGCATGCTATCTGGGTACCCTCACATGTAATACAGTATATGACATAAAGTCCCGAATGCTCCGCTGTTCGGTTCACGAACGGAGCGGAAGACCCGTAGGCTGGTAGTTCAGCGGTGCTTGGGAGGAAAGGTTTCTGCTTTTGGTGTACTGAGGCTGGGCAGAGCACCGCTGGCTGTCCGGGGGAGCTTCCATAACACCGCCACCGTGTGGCGGTTATGTGTAACCGTGACCACCCAATCACAGTTAATTAAGCTGCGGTTAACCGCAGATACTGGGTGGTCAATTGACTACACATGCCAGCTTCCCGGTGGTCGCGTATTCGGTAGTCTTTCGAGAAACAATACGGGGAAACAGGGGGGACTGTACGGGCAAAGAAATAACAGAACAAACAGATGAATGGAGGGAGGAGAAACATAATCCAAAGACAGATGGTTCTGTCACATTTTTTATATCTGTTTTCTGAACATTCTTTTTTTTTTTTTTATATATATTTTGTAGAAGAGAATGAAGATTTAAAGGCTCTTGCAAATACAGAAATCGAATCCTGCCAGGATGTAATAAACCAACTAAAACATCAGGTATAGTTGTTACATTTGTTTTGTGTGCGTGTGTATATAGATAGTGTCCAAAGAGAGTAAATATACAGTGTGATCCTCCAATGTAATAAAATAAATTAAAGGGACACTAAAGTCACCTGAACAACTTCAGCTTAATGAGGTTGTTCAGGTGAGAACTATAGCTCCCTGCAGCCTTTCTCATGTAAACACTATATTTTCAGAGAAAAAACTGTTTACATTGAAAGCTAGGAACACCTCAGAGTGAACCAGAGGGACTTCGGAGTTGATGGAGTCGTCATATGCCTCCATCCACTCAGATCTCTTGTCAGCAGAGCACAGGGCAGCACTGTGCACAGCATCCTGTGATTCAGTATCTCCTCCCTCTGCATGCAGACACTGAACTTTCCTCAGAGAGCTTCATTGATTCAATTCATCTCTATGAGGAGATGCTGTGTTTGAATCATGCTGGCTCTACCCCTGATCTGCCTCCTTGTCAGTCTCAGCCAATCCTATGGGGAAGCACTGTGATTGGATCAGGCTACCACATGTCAGCAGACTACTAGTTTTTCTGAGTCTAACAGCATGCAGAGTTGCAACTTCTGGCTTGAATACAGTAAGATGTTTACTATGTTTATGGAGGCATGAGGGCCCCAGGGGGGCCTAGATGGTGGTGTTAACACTATAGGGTCAGGAATACATGTTTGTATTCCTGACCCTATAGTGATCATTTAAAGGAATACAAATATGTATTCCTAACTCTCTAGGGCCCTAGTCACCATTTAGGTGACTAGGGCCCCTTTTCCGCGATGAATAAATGGTTAACAATTTATTTGCTTACCTTAATTGGGCACTGGTGACCTCTCCTCCATCGACGTCAGCTTCCAATTGGATCCGCATGCGTGGCCAGAGGCGCGCGTGCATTAAAACCAGCCCATAGGAAAGCATTACTAAATGCTTTCCTATGGGGATCATTTTTGACGCTGGACTCCGTGAGGGAGACAGCCACTAGAGGATGGATTAACCCTGCAGTGTAAACATAGCAGTTTCTCTGAAACTATTTTTTCAGCTGCAGGGTTAAAACTAGGGGGACATAGCACCCAAACCACTTCATTGAGCTATTGTGGTCCTTTAATAAATCCCCCTCCATCTCCATATAAATCTCCATTTAAATATGCAGGGTTCACGTTCTAAAGCACCACCCAGGCCTAATAGTTACTTACCATCACAAACCTGTTTACAGCATATATATAACTTGCAGTGTAAAAAATAGAAAGTGGGTAAATGGCGCTAAAAATAACACATCAAATGCAATAAAAGTGTATCAATATCCCAGTGCGTCTAAACCAAACCAGTGTTAAGTCACCGTTAAACACTTACATACATGGAATTGGATACAAAGAAAGCAGGTTTGCGCACATGATGGATAGATATTATTAAACCTGTAATCTACAGAAAGCCTTCATAGGGCAATATATATTCATAACATACAAGGTAAAAGTATAACTAGGAGCACTCACAATCTTTTGAGCTTTATTAGTCGGCTCTGAACTGTAGTAGCGTGTAAATAACTCCAGTAAAGGAGCTTTAGACGAGATGACCCAAACACAGATGATTCATCTTTTTAGATGAAAAATTCAGGAACCAAAATAAATATAAAGGTAACTCTTTTATTAAGAAATAAAATTGGAAATAGCACATAATAGCACATATAGTAGTATAGCACGTATAGTAGAACTGTAGTTACTTACACGCAACTACAGTTCAGAGCCGACTAATAAGGCTCAAAAGATTGTGAGTGCTCCTAGTTATACTTTAACCTTGTATGTTATGAATATATATTGCCCTATGAAGGCATTCTGTATATTACAGGTTTAATAATATCTATCCATTATGTGCGCAAACCTGCTTTCTTTGTATCCAATTCCATGTATGTTAGTGTTTAACGGTGACTTAACACTGGTTTGGTTTAGACGCACTGGGATATTGATACACTTTTATTGCATTTGATGTGTTATTTTTAGCGCCATTTACCCACTTTCTATTTTTTACACTGCAAGTTATATATATGCTGTAAACAACCTGCATTCTTTGTATCCAATAACTTGCAGTGTGTCCACGGAATGAAATGCATGGAAGGCTCAATGTGTGTATTTCTTCATCCAATGTGTGTAGGGTCGAATCTGTTCTGAATGCAAGGGTATATGTTTGTGTATGCATTAAGGTGTATCTGTGTCAAGTGTCCTACGCACAAATGAGCTTATATGTGGAGTTTCTGTGTTTAGCTCATGAATAATCTGCTCATTGCTCTTGAATATCGGTCCACTTTCCCTGAAGATTTGTACATTCAACTCCTCACTCTGTGTATCTGGCCATGATAATCTGCTGCTTACCTCCCAAAAATCAATGCTTTGAAGTGGCCTTAATTAAATGATCATGTATGTTTGCTGCACATACTTCGATATCAGCAGGCATTACTCAGCCACAGCTCTTGTTCCGGGTTGACTTATGTTAAATCTCTGCATATTGCTTACACAAACAGTCATTTAATGTCTTGGAGTACTCAGTTGATGCTCTCAGCCAATTAACGAAATGCAGTATTAACATCCAGCTTTTAAAGGTCTGCTGAAGCTGTAAATCATCCACCATTTGTTGTGACTCAGTGCCCACAGCACCCAGGTAAGTGGCAAACTATTGAGGGTAAAAGTGTACTTTAGCGTATTTTATTTTTCAATTTTACTCAAAGCAAATAGCATATTTTATTATTAACAGTCATTATTAAAATACACTTTTGCCTTAACTTGTTTAATTTAAGGTTGTCCCCACGCCCTTCAAATATTAATTAAATTAGCATCACAACTTTATTTTTTTTAATTTTTTTGTAAATTCTTTATTTTGTCATACAGGTGAGTACAATAAACATAAGCATACGCTACAACAGCGTACGTGTGCGTGTGAACAAATCGAGCATTAGTTCTGATAATACAAGTGTTGATCATGCGCGATCCTGGATACTCAATAGTCGTCAAGCGCCATATCGTTTAACAGGAAAATGAATACAATAGTAACATCGGTGCATAAGAACGCATTTACAGAACAGATAAAAACTCTAGATTGAATAGCTTAGTAAAAACGTGGCAACGCTTCCTCTCTAAATTATAGTATTCTGCTGTGTCTCCGAACTAGCAAGGTTGGCAGGAAAAATAAGGCAGTAACATCGTAGTAACAACAGAATTAAGACGGATATGATGCATGAAGTCCGAATACAGGAGCAGTATTATTGATTGACATTTGGGACATAAACTGTAAAGCTCAATTCAAGGTCTCATGCACACGTGTCAATATTATGGTGCCAACACTGGGATTCAGTTTCTAGTGCCTGATGCAGTACAGATCAGGGGGCGATTCCTTGAATCCAGGCTTCCACTCGGAGCCTCCCATAGAAGTGAACCCCAGGGGAAATTATGAGGTCGGAGTTAGCCTAATGGGTTGGGTCTGTTTGTGTGTCCCCTAGGTCGGGTATGGGTTATGTCTGTGTCTAGTCACCTTGATGAATTGTTAATCTATTGCTTAGCTCCTATCCGCTCAGTAGTTAGTTATGTCCTACCTCGATGACATGTTCTCCATGCGTCAGAGCCTGTTCTGCCGCTGTCTTTCAGTCTTGTGTAAGTCGGAAGATCATGTCAGTAGAACTATCTACACGTCATGGTAATATCTTGTGCGTCAACGTGTTCGAGCCCTCCCGGTTCCGACCCCCTCGGCCGCAAGCCGCACCGCCCCCGCGGTGTCCCTTAGTGAAGTTACACGCAAGCAGTAGTTGTAGCAGGTATAAAAAGGGGGGAGGAGTAGGAGGAAAAGGAAGGGGGTGTGGAAGGGTCTTTGAGCAGTTTACATCGGAGTGCGCCCGGGCATCCCCAACCCCCGGGTGTCGCAGTGAGCTCGTGCCTCTCTAAGTTCTGGTACGGGAGAGATAAACATACCATGGGGTCCAGATGTCGACATGTCTGGTGCTTCTCCCTAGTAGTTCTGCGTATCGTGCCTCAGCTGTGTGTGTTTCCTCAACTCTCTGTAGCCATTCTGCTACGGTTGGTGGGTGGATCTGCTTCCACTTAGCTGGTATAGACGCTTTCGCAGCATTGAGCAGGTGTCTCAGTATCGATCTCTTATATTGGGCTATCGAGCTTTCCGTAAAGTGTAGTAGGGCCATTTCCATGGTAAATTCTGGTAAGTCACCCACGATTGTCGTTATCTCCCTCTTGATGTCTTCCCAGTATGGTTTAATCCGCGCGCAGTCCCACCAGATATGTCGTAGGGTGCCTGTTTGGGATTCGCATCTCCAGCACGTATCTGTCGTTCCCGGGAATATCCTGTGTAATAGAGATGGGGTTCTGTACCAGTGTGAGAGTAATTTGAAGTTGACCTCCTGATACCTTGTGCTTATGGAGCTCTTGTGTTGTAATATTAATATCTGCTCCCATTGCGCCTCTGTGTACGTCCTTGCCGTCAGTTCTTCCCATTGCCTCTTAAATGCATTTTTACGTGTGCGATCCCCTGTGATCAACTGCTGGTAAAGGATTGATACTCTGCCGTCTGTGTCGGTGTTTGTCACGCAGAGGTGTTCGAACCACGTCTGTTCTCTGTGGATCGCTTCACGGTTGGGAAGGTTGTAGTAGAAGTGCCGCAATTGTGTGTATCGAAATCTGTGCATCAGCGTGTGTAGTGTCGCCGTGCTCCATTCTGGCAGGTTTCTCATTCCTGTGTTGCTCAGGACCTTGGACAACGGGATATAATCTCCGTCTCCATCTATCGGCCAGGCAGATCGGTGTAGTCCCCCGCCTATCATGCTATTGTGTGTTATCGGGATCAAGGGGCTTGGTTGTGGGGAGATATATAGGTTTCGCCTCAGGGAAGACCACGTCTTCAGCGTTTGTACGATGGGTGATTCATTGCCCAGTTTTGGTGCCGCGTCCGCTGTGCCTTGCTATATATACATGTGGAGGGCCTTGTTCGTACTCTCCCTGTCCAAGGCAGCCCACAATTTGTGTTCAGGTGCTGTGTGCCAATCTCTAATCCGTTGTAAAACCGTGGCCTGAAAATATTTGCGAACGTCGGGCAGCGCCAGTCCGCCCCAGTTCTTGGGTAGACACAATTTGTCGTAGCTGAGTCGTGCTCTCTCTCCCTTCCAGACATATTTTATCACCGCCGATTTAAGTGTTGTAAAGAATTCTGGGGGTACGTGCCAGGGGATGGTGTGAAAATGGTAAAGCAACCTTGGTAGAATATTCATTTTAACCACCGCTATGCGTCCCTGCCAGGATATGTGGTCAAAGTTCCAATTTTTGAGGTCGAGCAGTATTGTGCGTAGAAGGGGCGTGTAGTTTCTGGCATATATCTCTTTCGGTTCGCTGGGTATCCAAATTCCCAGGTAACGCATCTGGCCTGGGCACCAGTGGAAGGGGAATTCGCGTTCGATCCGTTCCCTTACAGCTGTTGGGGCCGACACGTTCAACAGTTCGCATTTAGTTTGATTTAGCTTCAGTCCCGATACCCGGCCGTATATGTCAAATTCCTCCATCAGAGCCGGCATGGAGTTGATAGGGTTGTCGATAAAAAAGAGCATGTCATCTGCGTATGCGGCTACCTTATGTTCCTGGTCCTTATGTCTAAACCCCCTAATCTCTGGGGTTTGCCTTATCCTGTCCAAGAACGGCTCCAACGAGAGGGCAAATAGGAGCGGCGATAGCGGGCAGCCCTGCCTGGTGCCATTGTGTATGGTAAAGCTGTCTGTGAGCGCGCCATTCACCCTCACTCTGGCATTAGGGTTAGCGTAGAGCGCCTCTATCCAGGATATCATTCCCGGTCCTAGGCCGACCTTATGCAGTGTTGCCATCATGAAGCTCCACGTTACCCGATCAAATGCCTTTTCAGCATCTGTGGAGAGCATTGGCAACTCCGTGTCTCCCTTAAGGGCCAATGCCTGTATAGAGAACGCCCTTAGAGTGCAGTCCCTGGCTTCCCGGCCTGTCACGAAACCTGTTTGGTCAGGGTGGATTAGGCGCTGGACATACGTTTGTAGTCTTGTGGCGATGATTTTGGAGAAGAGTTTCACATCCGTGTTAAAGAGTGAGATCGGCCGGTAACTGCCGCAATTTTCGGGATTTTTGCCTGGCTTGGGTAGCACCGTAATTGTGGCAGCTAGTGTTTCTTGGTGGAACTTGTCACCCTGTTGGAGTCGGTTGAGGGCTGCTGTTAAGTGTGGATTCAAAATGCCTCCAAACATTTTATAATACCCCGCCGATAGCCCATCCGGACCTGGCGCTTTCCCCCTCTTCGCTGCCTTAATTGCCGCTTGTATTTCTTCTATGGTGATCGGGGTTTCCAGCATTTCCGCTTCCTCCGGCGTGAGGGCGTCCGGTCGAAATCTTTGTAAATAGCGCGTTGTGGCTTCCTGCAGAGCGGCACGTTGAGTGTCGGGCGTCGACGAGGTGTTGTATAGTCGTTGATAATAATCACGGAATTCGTTTGCTATATCCTCCGGGAATTGTGTGAGGGTGCCATTGGTCCTTCTCAGTGCATGTACCTGCGCCCTGGCTTGTTGCGGTCGGATCATGTTGGCCAGGAGTCTCCCACTTTTATTGGCGTGGATGTAGAAGAAGGCTTTAGATTTCTGCGTCGCTCAATGGTGTTTGCGTGCTATCAGTTCTGTCAATTGTCGTCGTGCGTCTAAAAGACAGCGATAGTGTTCCTCGAGTTGTGACCGTTTGTGCAGAGTTTCCAAATTGGAAATCTGGCCGGTAAGTTCCAGCATGTGTTGCTGTATTTCCTTCTTCTTCCGTGATGCAATCCTTATGAGGTGGCCCCGAAGCACACTTTTGTGTGCTTCCCAGAGTGTCACTTTAGAAACGTCTTCCGTATAATTCTCAGTGAAGTAGTTGGACAGGTGTTCCGTCAGGAGTGTCTTTACTCCCAAGTCCAACAAGAGTGACTCATTCAATCTCCATGTCGATTTAGAGGGTCTGAAGAGAGGGGAGTCCAGGTGTACTTGTACTGCGCTGTGGTCCGACCATGGTGTTGGTTCAATTTCGGCTGATCGCAGACGTTGTAACCCTTCCTGCTGAATGAGGATGTAGTCGATACGCGAATGTCTCCTGTGAATGGCCGAGTAGTGCGTATAATCTCGAGTCGTCGGGTGTAAGGTTCGCCACGCATCCACCAGTCTCAGGTCTAACAGCGTCTTCCTTATCGCCCTGATCGCGGTTTGTGGTATGCTGCTGTGTCCGGTCGATGAGTCGGATAGTGGGTCGAGTGGCGCGTTAAAGTCCCCCCCCTATGACAAGCGAACCTTCCGTGAACGTTGCCAGTTGGCGAATCGTTTTGTTCAGAAACGTCGCCTGCTTTGCATTTGGCGCATAGATTGATGCGAAGGTGTAAATTCTTCCAGATATAGTGCCTTTGAGAAAAAGGTATCTGCCGTTTGGGTCCGTGAGTTGGTCCGTCTGGGTGAATTGGATATTAGCGGCTATCAGTATCGCCACTCCTGCCCTTCGGTCAGTAGGGTGGGTGCTGTGGCAGTTGGTTGGATACCGTCTGAGCATCACAACTTTAAACCTACTGTCTTCACGTTATGAGTGTAAAAGTAAACAGATGTCCAGATGTTTAAATCCCCACCAGGAGGAGGGATGAGCTGTACATAAATTCCATGGCGGCTAAGGTTGTGAGACTATACATGTTTTATGGAAGCACTGCATTATCTATGGGCCCATCTTGTAACATTTCTGGCTGAGCGTTTCAGCAAGTGTAAGGCACAGATGTGTGTGTCAGCATTATGGAACTGGCAGTTTTCAATAGAGGACAAGCCAAAGATGGTCTCACTATCTCCCCAATGTGAGCTGTGCTGACATTGTTTAATGTAATCTAGGATGAAGCCAGTTACCGGGAATAAATCCTACCCCTGTAATGACTGTAGGTATTCAGTGTGATAGTACTTACCGTGCTTCAGGGATAACAGTACCCAGCACGCAGTCCATGCTGTTGACGAGCTAACCACATCATGGCAGCTAACCACATCATGGCAGTGTCCAGATATGGGAGATGATATGCTAACAGATGCTCCAAATGTATTTATTTTATTGCTTTAATATATTTGTACGGCGCACCATAATAGCAGTGCAAAAAAATATGCTGAAATACACCTTAACAAAATGGCAAATAATAAAATACGCTAAAATACACTTTTACCCCATTGTGGAATGGTTTGCCTCCTTAACGGGAAATGCTGCTAGTGTATTCTGGACTTATTTTGTAGACCATAGTAATGAATGTTTTCATTGTCTACGTAATGCATTTAAGATGGGTTTAAATCCAGCCTGTATTTGCCCACTAATATATTATAATTTTTTTTCCTCATCAGATTGCATACATATTAATAGAAAGGGGAGAGGATGATGACAATGATCTTATAATGGAAGTAACAGCTGGAGTAGGGGGACAGGAGGCCATGCTATTTACTGCAGAGATGTTTGATATGTATCAACGCTATGCAAGTTACAAAAGCTGGAGCTTTGATATCCTGGAGTATTGTCCTAGTGAGATTGGTAAGTAACCTTCTCTTTGAGGTACAAAAGTTTTTGGGAAGTTGATTTTTTTTTATTTTTTTTTTTATTATGCAAGCAAAAATGTGTTACATAGTTACATGAAGCCCATGCTTAAATATTTATGCTGTTAATCCAAAAGTAGACACCCCTCCCCCCAAACAAAATGACACAATTTTAGCCTCTTCCAGTTATGCCACAAAAAGTGGAACAAACTTCTTGACTCTATAATGGCAATCAGATTTCTCCTTGGATCAACAACCTGTTTACATATGTATCAATTATAGCCTTGAATATTCTGTTTATGCAAAAAAGCATCCAAAAAATTATTTATTTATTTTTTATTTTAGTATTACCTATAGAATCTCATAAGACATTCTCTTTAGGCAGAGAATTCCACATCTTTAACAGGTTAGTATATAGTGGTTTGTATTGACCCTGTATATATTTGTATAGTGCTATTATATCCCCTCTAGGGCGTCTTTTTTTTTTTTCTAACGAAAACAAATCCAGGTTTTATAGCCTTTCTTCATAACTACTATTTTCCATCCCTCTTATTTATTTATTTTTAGCTTGCATCTGTACTTTTTCTAGTTGTGCATTATCCCTCTTTAGAACTGGCGCCAAAAATTGCACCACATATTCACATTTACTGCTGATTTGTAAAGAGGCAAAATTATATTTTGAGCGCGTCAATACTGATTTTTATACACAGACACACCTTACTAGCTTTTGCAACGGCAGATCGGCATTGCATAGTGTTGCCTAGTTTGTGATCTAAAATTGTTCCTCGAGTCGTTTTCATTTAAAGGACCACTATAGTGCCAGGAAAACATACTCGTTTTCCTGGCACTGTAGTGCCCTGAAGGTGCCCCCACCCTCAGGGTCCCCCTCCCGCCCGGCTCTGGGGGGAGGAAGGGGTCAAACTTACCTCTTTCTCCAGCGCCGGGTGGGGAGCTCTCCGCCTCCTCTCCTCCTCTTCGGCTGAATGCGCATGCGCGGCTGGAGCCGCGTGCGCATTCAGCCAGTCCATAGGAAAGCATTCACAATGCTTTCCTATGGACGCTGGCGTCTTCTCACTGTGATTTTCACAGTGGAAAACGCGGAAGCCCTATAGCGGCTGTCCATGAGACAGCCACTAGAGGCTGGATTAACCCCAACATAAACATAGCAGTTTCTCTGAACCTGCTGTGTTTATAGAAAAAAGTGTTAACCCTTGATGGACCAGGCACCCAGACCACCTCATTAAGCTAAAGTGGTCTGGGTGCCTATAGTGGTCCTTTAATGTTATCCCTAACTCAACCCTAATTAATGTATAAGGGACTTGTGCATTTCTTATTCCAAAATGCATGACTTTATATTGATCTGTATTGAATCTCATCTGCCATTTGCCTGCCCAGTCCCCCAATTTATCCAAATCCATCTGTTGTGAAGTTGTATCATGTTCAGAATAGGGATCAACTGATCTCATTTTTCCAGGGCCGATACCGAATAAAAAAAAAAAAAAGGGACTGCTTTACCTGTTCTACTTGTACTCCAGTGCAGCATCTTGGTGGTACCTGAGTATATTGCTCTCTATTGAAAAAATAGGTCTTTCTTTCCACATCACACAGACATAGCCACTCAACTAATGCAAGCAATATATTTTTTTTTCATATTGAATGACTGCTTCTTTGAACAGCCTGCTTAGCATTGCACAGTCTGGCACACTTATCCTCATTTGTGCAGATGTTAAAGTATATTTAAAGGGGTGCATAACCATGACTAGTCTAGGGTAAATTGTATGCTAGAAGTATTTTAAAGGGACACTATAGTCACCAGAACAACTTCCGCTTAATGTAGTTGTTCTGGTGAGTATAATCGCTCCATTCAGGCATTTTCATGTAAACACTGCCTTTTCAGAGAAAAGACAGTGTTTACATTGCTCCTAGGGACACCTCCAAGTGGCCACTCCTTAGATGGACACTGCAGGGGCTTCCTGGCTCAGGGCTGCACAGTAAGCAACCCTGCCGTTCAGTGCCCCCACGCTCTGCATGGAGACGCTGAATTTTCCTAATAGAGATGATGAGGTCCTGATTGGCCAAAACGGCATTTGGCCCCGCCCCGTGCCGATTTTAGCCAATCCAATGCTTTCCTATAGGGAAATGGTGGGTTAAACACTACAGGGTCAGGAATACATGTTTGTGTTCCTGACCCTAAAGTGATCCTTTAAGTATTTTTCATTAGCTTTGCAGACTTTGCGTATAATGTTTTATAATATTTTATTGGTTTACTTCTGTATTGCTGCCAGTCTGTACTTATGAGTTCTCTGTTTTAAGGTGGCCTACGACATGCAGCAGCAAGCATAGGAGGTCTCTATGCCTACAAGCATTTGAAGTTTGAAGGAGGAGTTCACAGAGTCCAGAGAGTACCAAAAACTGAGAAACAAGGGCGAATTCATACAAGCACAATGACTATTGCTATATTACCACAACCGAGTGAGGTAAACTCCTGCTGTTGGGACTAATCATTATATAGTTACATAGCTGAAAAAGACATGTGTCCATCAAATCCAGCCTTTCTCACATTTTGTTTTTGCTGTTGAGCGAAAGGAAAGCAAAATAAAAACAATTTGAAGCAGTTCCAATTTTGCAACAAACTAGGACAGAATTCCTTCTTGACCCAAGAATGGCAGTCCGATATCGCCTTGGATCAATAAGCTATTACTCCACAAATTAAAAATGATATCCTTATTTATTATGTTTTTTTCAAGTATTTATTCAATTGCTGTTTAAACATCTGTATAGACTCTGATAAAACCACCTCTTCAGGTAGAGAATTCCACATTCATATTGTTCTTATTGTGAAAAATACTTTCCTTTGCTTTAGATTAAATCTCTAATCCCTGCCACGTAATCTCCCTCCCTTATAGACTAGCTGATGCTGTTTGTACCTGCCCTGTTCAAATGTCAGGCCACTGTAGAACTGCATGCATCTGTGAAGACACACAGTGCAACATAATATTAACATTTTCATCTGTGGTAGCAAAAATTAAGAGAATGTAGGTTTTAAAAATACATACATTAATTTACTTCAAGGTAGTTCCAGATTTAAAAAAAAAAAAGTTTAAGTTTTTATTACAGCAAACATAGTTTGTTCATGTTGGGCAATGTCAGATTACATGCTTTTTTAAAATTTTAATAAAGAAGCATAGTAGACACAGCAAGAATACGCGGAAGCATTACAAAATAGGTGAAAATGGTGATGAGAGAACTATGAATAATACATTTTTTAAAAAATCTGCTTCTTTTATATATTATACGAATAATATAAATTGTGTTGAAATCAATATGTGCATCAGTGTTGGTTAATACAAGTCAGGAAGAATTCTTGTTTCAGCAGATATGTCTCCTCTTTTTTTTAATTTTATTTTTTTATCTACAGTAACTTCATCTAACCTCATACAGGAGGGTGACTTGCGCGATTAGGCAATTAACAGAGCAAGAAAAAATAAAATTACTTCTAAAATAAACACTGTTTAGATAGCTTAGTAATCAAAGAAATTATACATTCACAAATAGGTATATCTATGAAACATTACTATACATAAGTGTTCTTAAGATTTTAACCAGAACAAAAGCATTCCTACCAGGTGTATCTATTTAGGAGGTACAGTTGCTACTTTGGGCCCAAATCCCTCTGTCCTTTTTTTTTTTTTTTCTCTATCTTAATGTTGCTGTTTTCTGAATACTGTACATTATACTGTAGGTGTGTCTGAGTATATGATAGAACTCCACAGCAATAATACTCAGTAGTGTGTATTTAAACTACAATACTGTTTTTAGAAATCACTCTTCGTAAATAAGACACTTTAATCTTGTACTAAATTACATTTTAATTGCATATATTATTAACAAGTCACCTACATTTTCTCAGTACCTCTAAAATGTAAAGTGTCCCTCTTTGTCCATGTGAAATGTTATGGGTAATGCAAAAGTGTGTAGCAGCCTTTTTTCTGACAAACATACTCTCCATTTTTCACCCAATATGCATCCAAACAGATGGGATCTTTTACAAGCTTTTCATGAGGTTTACACTGAAACTGTGCAGATTTTATCTTTTTGTGTGGCTTACAACTGTAAGCATCATATTTTAATATGAAACCTGTTACCAGCTACTCACTTGAAAACAGATAAAGTTGTTCACTAATCCTGGAATTGTTTAAAATTGGAAAGGAAGTTGCAAATATTGGGCCAAAATATGAGAATTTTCAAACATTCTAAGGACCAGTGGACTGTCGTGGCAATATATTTATATAAAGATCCTTCACATTTCAAAATAGATTTATCTACTCATTTACTTACTGTATGTTGTGGCTGTGGCTTACATATGAATCTTAAAGGGACCCTATAGTCACCTGAACAACTTTAGCTTAATGAAGCAGTTTTGGTGTATAGAACATGCCCCTGCAGCCTCACTGCTCAATCCTCTGCCATTTAGGAGTTAAATCCCTTTGCTTATGAACCCTAGTCACACCTCCCTGCATGTGACTTGCACAGCCTTTCATAAACACTTCCTGTAAAGAGAGCCCTATTTAGGCTTTCTTTATTGCAAGTTCTGTTCAATTAAGATTTTCTTATCCCCTGCTATGTTAATAGCTTGCTAGACCCTGCAAGAGCCTCCTGTATGTGATTTAAAGTTCAATTTAGAGATTGAGATACAATTATTTAAGGTAAATTACATCTGTTTGAAAGTGAAACCAGTTTTTTTTTTCATGCAGGCTCTGTCAATCATAGCCAGGGGAGGTGTGGCTAGGGCTGCATAAACAGAAACAAAGTGATTTAACTCCTAAATGACAGTGAATTGAGCAGTGAAATTGCAGGGGAATGATCTATACACTAAAACTGCTTTATTTAAATAAAGTAATTTAGGTGACTATAGTGTTCCTTTAATATTTTTTATAGTTCTCAGTATTATGGTTGAATGTGAATAGAAAATATATGAAATGCAATATTAAATGTCTATTTATTGCAATAATTATATCTAAGCTATAACAAATGATGGCAGTAACCATGTATTACAATACAAAACATTTACAAACTACAACATATAACTTGCAGCCCGTGGCTGAGGCTAAAAAAAAAAATGGCTGAAAATCTATTATCTCTGGGGGTTTTTTATTCACTGTGGGAAGTTTTATGGGAGATAACTTCCTTAGAGTGGGCTGGCCTGTGATGTCACTGCCCGAAGCACATGGTATAAGGAAACCATAAATTGGAAATTATTCCTACATACTGCCCCTAATGGTGCCTCTAAAACATTAACCTTAGTATGCTTTATTTATGGCATCATTACACTGTCAGGCTGTATAGAGCAAACAAAGTTAAACAAGTGAGATGTTACATTTTGGCAGAGGTTGTACAGTAACATGATTATAGCATTGTAAAGCACTGCGGAATAAGTTTGGCGCTAAATAAATGACAAAAATAATCATCATAGCGTAGTCTTTAGTCTTTACGAGCTTAAAATGTCCTATTTTTTTCCCCATCTACCGCAAGCCTTGGTGTAGTGAATAAAAGCCACAGTTGCAAACTAACATATTTACTGAAACCATGCTAGAACATCTTGTCACTAAGTTAATAAAGGGAATTCTGTTTGATAATAAAACATTTTGTTGCTATGTTTTTTTTCTTTCTGAACTCCCAGATCAATTTAGTGATCCATCCCAAAGATTTACGGATTGAAACCAAAAGAGCTAGTGGTGCTGGGGGACAGCATGTCAATACTACTGATAGCGCTGTACGGATTGTACACATACCAACAGGTGGGCATATTTGCTATACAATGTTAAATGAAAAATTGGTTTATTATAATCAAATTTTGTTATGTGTATATACTCTATATCAGGGGTTCCCAATTTTTCCCGTGGAACCCTTTGACTTAGTATAACATCGTGAAACCCCTTAAAAAAAAAAAAAAAAAAATTGCGCCGTAGCACAAACCTTTTAATAAGTGGCTTTTTTTTTTATCATTTTCAAATATTTTTCTCATAAACGGTTGTCTAATGATACTCCTGAAGCTTTCGCTTAAAAAAGGCAATGTCTTTATCTTTGTACTCTGAGTTGGTTTTGCTCAAAATGATTATGTAATTTAGCAAGTGCTAACAAACTGTTTGGCAATATTTTCTTGCAGATTAAGCATTTTGCTTGATGTATATTTTTATTTCTGGCACTTGTGAATCCAAATGTTAAGTAGCTGTCGTCATATTTTCTTTTTTTTATTTATTTTTATTTTTTGAGAAGAGGATTACCGTATATACTTGAGTATAAGTCGAGTTTTTCAGCACATTTGATATGGTATAACAGTTTATTAGGGAACAGATGTGTCGAGGTCTTGAATCCTCCCTCTACCCAGTTCACACACTACACACACACTGCATTATATATACACATACAAACACACACTCTGCATTATATACACACACACTGTGCATTATATATATATATATATATATACACACACACACACTCTGCATTATATAATTATATATACACACACACACACTCTGCATTATATAATTATATATACACACACACACACACACACACTCTGCATTATATAATTATATACACACACACACTCTGTCATACACACACACACACACTGCATTATATACACACAGAGTGTGTGTTTGTATGAGTGTGTGTGCATATAATTATAAAAATCACCGAATTTCATAGCCCCAAGTTTTACTCTCGACTTATCCACGAGGCATAGCATATTTCACAATTGTTGGTCACAAAACTGCACTCGACTTATACATGAGATCGACTTATACACTAGTATACACGGTAGGTAGCATAGTGTTTTGTTTTTTTTTCTTCTCCCTTTGGCTTGTCTCTGCTATTTGAGGGACAGTAGATGCAACTATTTGGCCTTGTTTTCTTGATTTCTTGTTGTATCATGTTTCTAAGTTTCAAAAATTTTCAAACAATTAGAAGTAGTAATTTTTCTCTTGATAGCTCCTTATTTTAACCAGTTGTCCAAATTCATGGTTGTTGGTTGGTTAAAAAAAACAAAAACAAAACACTTCTCTAACCTGAAAAAAAACAAAATACTGATCTCACTACCTGACTGCAATGGATGTTTTTGTTGGATTTTTTTTTAATTTATTTTTATTTTTTTATAATGCTCTTATAAGTTTATGTAAGAAGCACTTTTAATCATACTTGGAGCAAAAAGATTAAAACACTTTTAAACAGGCCTCACTACCTGACTGCAAAGGATGCTGTATTTTTTTTTGTTTGTTTTTGTTTTTTCAAAGCTCTTAGAAAGAAATGAACATAAGCAGGATTTTTGCTCAATCTTGGAGTAAAGAGAAATCTTTACTACAGTCTTCACCAAAGGACGCTGTTTTGGTAACCGCTCTAGGAATGAAAATGTTTTGGTATATCACAGATTTCTACTGATAGTACGCCAAAAAAAAAAAAATATTACACACACAGTCTCGCGATCTCTTTATAAGATCACGGCCGCGCGTGTTTCCGACCTTCCGGGAACAGGAGGGAGCAGCGGCCATCTTGGATAGGGCAATTCACGGCGGAACCCCAGTTTTGTTCTCGTGGAACACCAATTGGGAAACGCTGCTCTATATATTCAACAGTCATATAAAGTCTGTGTATATACTGTACCAAGTAGATCAACAGTAGCTGTTGGATGTGGTGTGACAGTTTCTCACTGTCTTCATAGTGGATAAAATGGAATGTATCTAAAAAAAAAAAAAAAAATGCATGGCACACCTTGTGCAATCGTTGGTCAGGTTGCCATTCACATGCACGCTAACTAAAACAGGACACTACACAGCAAGGTACAAGTATTCTCTGCAAGTAAAGACTGCACCAGTGCTGTTTTTAAGGGCTTAACCCTAACTTGTCATATACCAGAAAAAAGAAAATCACATAACTGGTGACAGTATTGCGCTCACAATAACCGTCAGGTACATAATCTAACCAAAGTATATACAGTATAACTACCCGATACCCATAAAAAGGGGAAACCTTTTGTTATTGTAGAGGTATTGTAAAATGAAAGGTTATGGTGATATGGTATAACAGTTTATTAGGGAACAGATGTGTCGAGGTCTTGAATCCTCCCAGCTAGAGTGCTTGCACACCAATATATAGAAGTATATAGCAACACCGTTAATCTCACTGTCCGAAAATAGGTAAATGTAATATGGGTATATTGCTTTTACTACAGCATAACAGAACTTGCATCAAGAAATTTCAGCTGTGATCCCATATAAATCTTCTAAAGCTTATCCTAATGTATCAGCACATTACCTTTTACCTTGGCTGCTAAAATGGTTGACATCCTACCTCACTATAATATTATGGAGCATTAACGGTACCACGTAAATAGCTTGGTAGTGGTATCTGTAATAAACCTACAGTCTGTCATCAAACACCCTCCTACCCACATTTCGGCTGTCTTAAGAGTAACAGCCTACTTGAGCAGTTCTATGACCTGGCTTCAAACAAAACCACCTTGGTCAGCAGATTGTAACCAGAGCTAGAGTAAACCCCATCCTGCCTAATCAGTAACTGCTAAAGACCATAGGAAGGAACAAAGAAAATAAGCTCTTGACTTGTGTTTCAGTGCAGCACATCTTTATCTTGAAAACCTTGCACTGCCTGCCAATATATACTAGCGATACAAAGTGGTCCCACTCATATGGTACAAAAATGTATCCACGTAATATGTCTATATATATATATATATATATATATGTATGTAGTTTATTTAAAGGACCACTATAGTGCCAGGAAAACATACTCGTTTTCCTGGCACTATAGTGCCCTGAGGGTGCCCCCACCCTCAGGGTCCCCCTCCCGCCCAGCTCTGGAAGGGGGAAAGGGGTAAAAACTTACCTTTTTCCAGCGCTGGGCGGAGAGCTCTCCTCCTCCTCTCCGCCTCCGTTACGTCCCGCCGGCTGAATGCGCACGCGCGGCAAGAGCTGCGCGCGCATTCAGCCGGTCTCATAGGAAAGCATTTACAATGCTTTCCTATGGACGCTGGCGTGCTCTCACTGTGATTTTCACAGTGAGAAGCACGCAAGCGCCTCTAGTGGCTGCCAATGAGACAGCCACTAGAGGATTAGGGGGAAGGCTTAACCCATTCATAATTATAGCAGTTTCTCTGAAACTGCTATAATTATGAAAAAATGGGTTAACCCTAGAAGGACCTGGCACCCAGACCACTTCATTAAGCTGAAGTGGTCTGGGTGCCTAGAGTGGTCCTTTAAATGTTACATTTACCTTGCCAATTTTAGCTACATGATTAGTCACAAGATTTTAACAAATGTGCCTGTTTCTTTTTAGCTACTACACGTTTTTTCTAAGAGAGCCAAGGAATAATAAAGGAACTGTATCTGCACACTAGAATGTACTTTCCCTTGATGTTTGTTTCATTTCTTGTTAATGATGGTGCAGCTATGTAAAATTTCTTTATTTTAATTTCCAGGGGTGGTATCAGAGTGTCAGCAGGAGAGATCTCAGCTGAAAAACAAAGAGAAGGCAATGCAGGTTCTTCGTGCAAAACTATACAGCATGAAACTTGAAGAAGAAACTACAAAACGGTACAATGCAAGAAAGGTCCAGGTAAGCCCACTTATAGTAATTATACCTTTGTGAGATAGACTGGTGTTTCTATGTATGTTTGAATTGTGTGTCTTCCCTTACATCGGAACCTCTTAATCCATGGCCAATATCACAATCTGGATCCTAAAGACTCTTCGTCAGCAGTTTACAACCCTGCCAGAGTTAAATTAAAGGAACACTACAGTCACCAAAACAACATTAGCTTAATTAAGCAGTTTGGGTGTATAGATCATGCCCCTGCAGTCTTGCTGTTCAACTTTCTGCTATTAAGTAGTTAAATTACTTTTGTTTCTGTTTATGCTGTCCTAGCCACACCTCCCCTTGTTGTGACTCACACAGCCTGCAGGAAAACAAAATGGTTTCATTTTCAATCAGATGTAACTTACTTTAATTTTATCTCCTGCTGTGTAAATTGAACTTTAATCACACACAGAAGATTCCTGCAAAGTCTAGCAAGCTTTTAACAGAGGAGGAGATAACAAATTCAAAATAAAAGAGAATTAGTAATAAAGGAAGTGTAAACATTATATGACTCTTTACAGGATGTTTTGAGGAAGGCTGTGTAGGTCACATGCAGGGAGGTATGACTGAGGCTGTATAAACAAAGTGATTTAACTCCTAAATGGCAGTGAATTTAGCAGTGAGACTGCAGGGGCATAATCTATACTCCAAAATGGCTTCATTAAGCTTAAGTTGTTTTGGTGACTATACTGTCGCTTTAATGGTGCATTCAATTTTAGTCTTGGATCTTTGAAGGTCAATTTGCTATGAAGAAAGATTGTTTTTTAAAGCGACACTATTGGCAACCAGACTACTTCGTCTTATTATCTATAGCCCCCTTCCTATGGATACTTGCCCTGCCTCTTGTGTGCTTTCTGTGCACCAAGTTGTGGCCCATGTTACTCTTGCTGTCCTGGTTTGGTGGTAGCCTGGGTGAATGCATATTCTATGGCATGAGTCCCACTTCTGGGGGAAGGTAAGTCGGGATACACGACGGACTATTGGCCCTGGCTAAGAGGCTGAAGTGGAGAAGTACTTGGTGAGGGCTCTGGCCGTGCCCCGGAGTGGATTCCATCTTTCCTGGGGAGAGTGTTGATGGCCAGTGCTGCCAGGGTTTTTGAGGGATTGCAGTTTTCTGGCTTATTTACTAGTGATTTGTGCGTGTGGTTTTGCTATTTTTTTTTAATGCTGTCTGTTACCACATTTTTGCTCCCTGGAGCTCAAATGAACTGGTTAGATTTTTCTGTACAGTATATTGGAATTATGCATTTCTGTTTGCATTATTTTACTTTGACAGGAATATTGTGCTAGCAATCTCATTTATTATTTTACATGTATATATCGTGACCGCTCTTTCTTCCAACTCATATGTTTGCAGCATATGCTACTTAATATATTGCTTTAAAAGGTACTTGCCATGCCAGTTTGTGCTCTGCAATAATGAATATTCTTTTCAATCTTTCTATAAATCATGCTAGCCATTGTATAGGTTTAGAGATAACGCTCCACCTCTTTACCTCTGTCTCTGTATATCGTACATTCTCCTCTAATCGTATAGCGCTGCAGAGCACATTGGTGCTTTATATAAAATCAATAGAATTATTGTTTAACAAATACAAATATTTTGTACATTATGTGGGGGGGGGGGGTGTCTAGCCGCCAAAGAAAATGATTGCATAATCTAACAGCTCCTCGTGGAACCTGTGAAAAATGCCTCAACAGCGCACCTCTCCAAGCCCATCGCTGCAAATGAGCTGTACAAAGAGGCCGACAGAAGCCGCTGGTACCCTAAAACCGCCCGGGTCCAGTGGAGAGCCATCCATTCGCTTCTTCCTCACTGGGACCCGTCATTGTGGCGGGAGCAGGAGGCCACAAGACCTACTCCTGACTCCCTCCCACTTACCCCAACGAGGTTCTCGCCTACGCCCTCCCTCTCAACAGAGGCTTCAGGGATGCTTGAAGGGTAAACTGCGGGCCATCATCCCCAGCCTACTCATCAAGGCGGACTTCGAGGCCCTGTCACCACCTACATCACCACCAGCTCGTCAACTGCTGGAGAGCATTACACCCAGCGGCGCAGGACTATACCTTCTACTCTACAACACATGCCACTTACACAAGGTTAGACCATTTCTTCGTTCCCCACTGCAACCAGAGTCGGAAATCCTACCGATGACCTGGTTTGACCATTGCCCCCTCTGCTTGCGGTTACGCTCGCCCCTGTACCGGCCCCGCCAAACTTCATAGCGTCTGAACGAATCCATCCTCTCGGACACACTGCTGTTGGAAACGGCGAGAAAGACCCTGCAGGATTACTCTGCAAGACGGGAGTCACTACTCCCCTGATATGCTGGGAGACACACAGGGAACTAAAATGTTCCCCAGGGAACTTACATGAGACACTCAAAGACCCCGAAGGACTCTGGATGTGCGGACAATACGGCACCTCTCTCAGCACTCCCATACCGCATTCGGCTATCGACTGCAAGTGTTAACACCTTTCATTAGATGAGCAAGTGGTGGGTTTAATCACAACAGGCACACAGAGAAGGGTAATGATGATACGCAGAGAAAGGTTAGAAACCTGGCATTCCAGCAACTGATTTTCATATACTGCACAATTTATGCTTCTTCCCTTAGGTGGGAAAAATGTTACTTCGATAACGGTTACATAAGACCTCTGTGCAGGTCACCTGTTCTGATATGCTAAAGTGTATTGCTTCACTCAAATACTATGTTCATTAACAACGCAATAAAGACAATCTTAATACAAATACTTGTACATTATATTTGTAATATATTGAGGGAACTAAACCTGATTAGCCTAAGTTAAAATATGCATTACAGCATCATGTACTGATGCAAATTTGATATTGTTCTATATCTTGCAATATCATACATTTTGCTTGGTTGGATCATTCTGTACAATATATTGCATTATGCTTTGCGTTATTTCCCTGTGCAGTAACACGGCACTAGCATATTATATCTCTTAGCTAGTAAGTGTGCCGGCCTGATGACCGAGAGATTGTGACTGCTCTTACTTTACACTCACATGCTTGCAGTATATGCTACTTAATATATTGCTTTAATGTGCTAATGACAATTTGATATTGATCTGTATCTACCACTATTATAGCACTCTGCTGTGTATCTGTTACTTTATATACTGATATAGTACAATCTTATTACATACAAAGATGAATTAAAGATGGCTGCCCGAAGGGTGTACGGGTAAGCCAGGAGATGACCTGAAATGATGTATTTATTTATGTGTATTTACACAGAGGCTGTAATGCATATAATATTTTATTCAGGAACAATAAAAGCCAGTTTTTCTTTAAGGTTTAGTAAAGGTATAGGTATTTGGAAGTTTTTAATTTCACATATAACTTCCATTCACTTACATATCTCATATCAAGCACTGCTTAAAAAGCCATGTGTTTGTTTTATTTATTTTTAAACGCTAATGTTGGTAATGAATTGTCCCACATAGTTGCAGTTTCTCTTAAATTGGATATTAAAGGGTTACTCCATGCACCATGATCACTTCAGTCATTTGGTTTGGTCATGGTTATTGGAGTCTGTATGTGCAGTGTTTCAGTATGAAATGCTACAGAAACAGAGATATTTTATCTCTCCCAGAAGTGTAACTCTCCTCTGGCAGTGTCATCCATATGTAGTTGGCATATTCCATGGACAGAGGGTCATTTGTTGGCTTAGAGCGATCAGCTAAAACTTTCAGCCAATGAATGAATGACTGGTGGGATTGACATACAGCTTTTGCAACTCTGCTCAACAGGCGGCTAGGTGCCCAGGCAGGGTTTCAGGTAACAGGCCAAATTGTTGCAAAATGTTTTGGGGTATCTCCTAGCACTCTAATCACCACTTAAAGGAATTCTATAGCGTTGGTAATACAAACCTGTACCCCTGTTCATAGTTGTAGTAAGATGTGTGTGTCTTTTTCGGCACTGCTCACCTCTCCGTCTCCCACAACGTCATCGAGAAGGCATGCTCCTCATAGATGAGCATTAAGGACCTAATGCACTTTGCAGAGAGATCCATGCACGCATTCAAGGTTCACTATAGTAAAGCATTGTAGTCAACAGGCCACTGCACCCAGTCCACCTTATTGAGATGAAGTTGTCTGGATGACTAGTGTCCTTATAAATGGCCAGATTTCATTTCTTAGCCGTTAAATGCCTATATCCATTCTCCCCTCAGTGCTGCCATTTTCTTCTACTTTAGAAAGAAAATTCCTGCTTTTCCCAACCGTTGGCAGTATGTGACTGTTACTGAACAAGGTGTGCCTATTGACACTCGTGCACAAATAAAAAGGCATCCTGCCACTCTAACTGCTGCAATTCACATGGCAATTTGCTTTATTTATCAGTAGACCCAATTTGGCCCAAATTAAATATGCTTATCAGTGGATAATTGGCAACCTTCCCCATGTAGCCAGATAGGATAGTCTCATGTAATTACACTTGAATGTTGCAATTTGAATGCTAACTCTGAGCCTAGTAAATTACACTTTAAACTGATTAAATAGCACAAGCCACTGTTTTCAGTGACTAGGTAAAAATGCTGTTTCAATGTACGTTCCTTTTGTCCTATTGTTCAGCCTCTCACAAGGAAATAATGTATGTCTCATCTACATATCAATAAAAAAAATCCTCAAAACAAAAGACGGGGAATAGCTATTTTATGTCTTAAATGGCCGTTTCCTCCCCCCCCCCCTTTCCAGTTTATTTAATGATTCATTTAAAGAACTGTTCCCTTAAAAAAAAAAAAAATTTTGAAAAGTAAAGCCGTACATAGTATTTAAAAATGTTTGTTGGAAAGCATACCAGATATTGCATTTCATGTTGGTATAAGAATGTCTATTTAACAGCCATTTGCACGTGTCCATAAGACCTTTAAAGGACCACTGCCCCCACCCTCAGGGTCCCCCTCCCACGGGCTCTGGGGAGAGGAAGGGGTTAAAATCTTACCTTTCTCCAGCGCCGGGCGGGGAGCTCTCCTCCTTCATAGCAACGTCATCGGCAGCATGCGCGGCAGGAGCCGCGCGCGCATTCAGCCAGTTCATAGGAAAGCATTTACAATTTTTTCACAGTGAGAAGCACGCAAGCGCCTCTAGTGGCTGTCAATGAGACAGCTACTAGAGGCTCTAGAGGCTGGATTAACCCTATTATAAACATAGCAGTTTCAGTTTATAAAAAAAAAAAAGTTAACCCTAGCTGGACCAGGCACCCAGACCACTTCATTAAGCTGAAGTGATCTGGGTGCCTATAGTTGTCCTTTAAGTACACATTACGTTCAAGTCCAAGGATCAAAACTATTTAACATAATGACCCTTTAATAAAGTTTTGAAAGGAAATTTTTTTTTTTATTTTTTTTTTTTTAAGTGAAATGTATGTAAATATATGAGGACATAAGTTCTAACACAAGGCTCCCTTCTTATCACCTGCAACTCTGGATTGGGTGGAACCTAGACCCCTGGTCTATTTACTGTTCCTACCTTGATTAATATGGGCCCTAATGGATGCTCATTCCCCTGGTTCTATATAATGATTATTAAAAATATATAAAAATGTTACACTTAATACAGCATTGTTAGTTGAGGCATCTAACACTATTCTCCTAAACATAATATACACAAAAATAAAAACACACAGCTTCTTATTAAGTAAACCACTACACTGCACTAATTATTAGAGCGAAAATACAGCCCAAATAAATTTTTTTCTGGTTAGACCTAATTTGACATTTTAGGGATATTACCAGTCAATAACTGGTAGCCCTTAAAGCTTTTCATTGCTTGTTGGATCCTAGTTTAAATTTTCCTTTAGAAGTTATTTGAACTATTGGAGGTTATTAAAGGTAATTAAATGCACTCTATTGATCCAGTTCAACAGGCCCTTTAGGAATTCAATTCATAGAAAAGATGCTATCTTAACTCTGGCTAGGAGCACAGACGTTTTGCCTATAAGTGCTCCTTTTTACGAATCCAGCGATGAGAAATGTTTCTTTTGCACGGCCTTCAACATTATTGGTTTTTGTCTAACACTGGGATTCCAACTGTAATTTTTGATACTAGAGCTGGGTGTGACAGTCTAACACCTGGCAAAGGAGCACTATTAAAATAAACAATTTAATGCACATAACCCGAAATAAAAAATGCATATTGGTTTGCAATTACTGCAGATCTATTTGTAGGTACTCAAAGCCCTCCCCTTCTTCCCCAGCACAACTTTCTATGGCTGTCCAATTATAGGCTTCTCGATGACCTGTGTTACAGCTTAGTTAATGATTGAAGAAAATACATTAAAAACTTGTTCTTAGTTTACCTTGGGGTGAACAAACTGAAATGTATATATTTTGATTACTTTGTCATGATGAAGATTTTTAGATATTGTGTCCCTTAATGGCAAGCGGGAAGGATCCCTACATATGTTAGCAGAAAGTGTTCATCGATTATCAGTTATTAACATTTGCTTGTTACTTTTGGCTAAACCGATCCCACTGAGGTAATATTTTTGCAAACTGTTTATATATGTAAATATGAAAGATGAAATAATTAAGCTCTAAAATGCATTTACAACAGTTATAACTTGTGATTGTGTTGCAAAGGTTCTACTCTAAAAATCTTTAGATAATGTTTTTTTTCCCTTTTGCTTTTCTCCTAGATTGGCACCAGGGGCAGATCTGAAAAAATTAGAACCTATAACTTCCCTCAAGACCGTGTTACAGACCATCGAATTGGCAAATCTTTGCATGACATAGAAGGGTTTCTCTTTGGTGAAGAACTTTTAGATGAGATGATCCAATCTCTCAGCGAGTTTTCAGATTATGAATCTCTTCTGGAAATTATTTCAGAACCTTCTACAGAACATATGTGAATAAATGCATGGACTTTATTATTAAATTACCACTTCTTTGTAATTGCATTTGACTGTTCTTTCCAAAAAAAGGCTTAGAAGTCTGCAAGCGGCACGGTCATGCCAAACTTGCCTCACAGTAAGAGAAATGAGTATTGTGGGAAAAGATCTTTGACCACAGAAAATGGAGCGGACTTAAGCTCCTCCTTGGGTGAAAGCTGGTCAAGCATAGAAAAAAAACATAAGACAAATTCATCACGAACCCATGCCACATCTGGTCTTTTCCTGCAGGAGAAATCAGATATTTCTATATAAGAAAGCACAGCCAATACAGGATTATGCTTGTTGGCTCATATGGCACAGTAACGAATGAGTGTGGCCCTTCTTAGCTTTGTAGAGCTAATAGGTAGGAAAAGATCAAAAGAAGGCTGTATTGTTTTACGAGTTTAAAGTGTTCTTTGAAAGCTTTTTTTTTTTTTTTTTTAATTAAATTTTAATAATAAAAAAAAAAATCTGAACTAGAACTTGCTTTTTTTTAAATCTCTTTCAAACAGCGCTAGAAAGAATGCTCCTGCCTTTAGCTCCCTTGCCTGTGCTAGCTGCTCTCTAACCCTGGTTAGGATGTCTCAATGATCAGTATGAATTGAAAGCTGCACTCACATCTTGCCAAGAAGTATCTCAATGAGTCAGTCTGCCAGTACTGTATAAAAGGGAGGCCTTGATCTGCATCTTTTACAAGATTTTTTTCCCCCCATGTCCTCCATGCAAACATGATTGGGGAAAAAAAAACCCACATGCATATTTTCATTTGGGGTTTATCTACGGAATAGAGAAATGTGTTTTGTTTTTCCAAAGAAGTTTTAGTAACCTGGATGATTGAAAATGTCAACCAATCTATTGTGTGCTAGGAGAGAGCCCTGCAAAGAAATACACTAACGAAGAACATGTAACTTGAAAGGCAGAACTCAAGATTGGTTTGTCATCCAGAATAGTGGAATAAACTAGTCCATACTTGGCACAAGGATCTGTGTTTCGGAGTTTACAAAAACATAGTAATTAATCTACAGTACAATCATAACCCTGGTGGTACCCTAGAATGGATTATACTTATTTAATGGCCTTAGACTGACAGTACAGCTGTATGCATCACTCAATGTAATTTGTATTACAGTAGCACACATCAAGGTGAAAAAATAACTGCTAAATTGCAATATGCATGTAAAAAGTGTTCTACCATAAACTTTGAAAGACATGGCTGTACAATAAGGCTCAAACTATAACATGGTGTGCCCCGTGGTCTCTGCTTAGGCAAGCAGACAGGGTATTTGTAATGTAATGATATACATTTATGGGGTATACTATCAAACAGCTACAATACCCCAAAATGAAACCTGAGCAGTCTGAAGTAAACATATGGAATTATCTAAAAATAACTTAAACGAGTGTAAAGTCAGAGTCCACATTCCTTGCTCTCGGCAATTCCATAATATTTATTAATAGAGGCTAATCAAACAAATATACAATACATATACATTTAAAATAGACTTGTATATGTTGCTACCAAAACTAGTCGATTAAATGGAAAGTAAACTAAATTAACATAGTGAAACAGATCAGATCAGTTGAGATAAGTAAGAGGGTGTGCATATTGGGGAAAGGGAGAGAGAGAATGTGTTATTCACAGGACTTTTAACAGGTTAGCCCTTACTTCTGCTGGATACACCCCGCCCCTCAGTCAATCCTTTAGGATCTAACAGAACCAGAGTGGCTCCTGGGGAAGAGATATTGCACTGGAAAAGAATGGGGGAGGAGTTTATCAACCACATAACTGGTTTTGCCTGGTGAAAGGCCATGTGCATCACAGAGGACTCCATTATTGCCCAAGGGTAGAATGGTGCTTGAATCCCTGTATTAGAACACCATAACACTTCATTGACATACAGTTTGGCTGTGAATCAGTCCCCTACTTATTACACAGTCAAATCCATCTATCAAAATTGTAACTATAAAAGTTAAAATGGTCAGGTCTCTTATACAGCACTGCAACTTCACAAAATAGTGGCAAATATATACATATATACATTTTACATTTATTGTCCTGATGAAAGCTTGAGGGAATCAAGCTGCAATGTTGGCAATTTTATCTTCAAGGTAATAAAAGTTAAATTTTAATAAGTCCTTGGAGTGCTATCCATTAGAATCTATTATATATATATATATATATATATATATATATATATATATATATATATATACACACACACATACATACACACACTTTTATCACCCCTCCCTTCTTACATCTTCTCAGGAAGGAGGGGAGGGGGTGGTTATTGCCTGCTAGTCTTAGTGGTGAGTGAACTCTAGCCTGCTGCTCCTGGGACTAGAGTATACTGGAGCATTGCAGTGGTAAAGTTCTAAGCTCGAGCTCCCGGATACTTTCCTCTCCCTTCCTACCTCTGCCTGGTACCAAAGTTAAAGGACCACTCTAGGCACCCAGACCACTTCAGCTTAATGAGTGCCAGGTCCAGCTAGGGTTAACCCATTTTTTCATAAACATAGTTTCAGAGAAACTGCTATGTTTATGAATGGGTTAAGCCTTCCCCTATTTCCTCTAGCGGCTGCCACTAGAGGCGCTTGCGTGCTTCTCACTGTGATTTTCACAGTGAGAGCACGCCAGCATCCATAGGAAAGCATTATGAATGCTTTCCTATGTGACCGGCTGAATGCGCGCGAGTCTCATGCCGCGCGTGCGCATTCAGCCGCATGGGAGGAGAAGAGGAGGATCGGAGGAGGAGAGCTCTACGCCCAGCGCTGGAAAAAGGTAAGATTTAACCCCTTTCCCCCTTCCAGAGCCGGGCGGGAGGGGGACCCTGAGGGTGGGGGCACCATCAGGGCACTATAGTGCCAGGAAAATGAGTATGTTTTCCTGGCACTATAGCGGTCCTTTAAGTGGCACTTACCTGATTCCAGCACCGATGTCCCTTGGCACTGGTCGATGCTCCACTTTCCTATGGCTTTCGGGTGATGCTGGATGATGGCCTCATGCATAGCGGGAGGACAGGGCCGATCCTGGGGTCACTGACGCCTGGGTGCAAAAATATTTTTGGCGCCTCCTGGTGGGTGTGGCTATATTGCAAACTCCTCCCCTTTACAAACTTAACACATTTTAACCACATCCATTCCCTATGGAGACTACTCCAACTGTTTGTGACCCCCAACTATTCAGGGTAGTATGTAACCCACATTCAACAATGCAAGCTTTCCCCAAAAAAACTCATCAGTGCCATATTTGTGCCTAGTTGCCTAGTGCCATCTCTGTCCCTATACAGCTACCCAAAGCCATCTGTGTCCCAAAATAGATAATCAGTAAAAAACATGGAGGGGTTGGGGTGTGGGAGAGATACACGGTGGGGCTTGGGGATGGGAGAAACACATGAGCGGGTTGGAGAGACACATGGAGGAGCTGGTGGGGAGAATGAGACATGCAGAGGGACCTGGGGGGAGAATGAGACATGTGGAAGGACTGGGGTGGAGGGGAATGAGACACATGCAGTGGCTGGAGAGGGGTGAGACACATGGGGGTTCCCCAGTGCAGTTTTCACACTGGGATTCCGGCGGTTTCTTGTAACGCCTCTGCCTTCAGGCTTTTCAGTGTAAACACTGCCATTTCAGAGAAAAGGCAGTGTTTTTATTTCTGCCTAGTAACATCTCTAGTGGCCATCACTCAAACGGCCACTTGAGGTGCTTCCTGGGGCAGTGCTACACAGTGTGCAGCACCTACGTTCAGTATCTCCAAGCTCTGCATAGAGGTGCTGAATGATCCCCACAGAGATGCTGATTAGTGCATGCGCAATAGCCTGCCAATACTTTCCTATGGGAAAAATGTTGAGTAAATCACTTTTCCTATGCAATCAAAGGGGGGCTAGTCACCTAAACAAACACTCACATACTCACAGACACACACACCCTGACAGACACACACATTCAGAAATTATATATTTTTTATTATTTCAATTAAAATCCACCCAGCCTTCCTACCTTTGGGAGAGCTGGAGTGAATTGGCTTTTCATGGGGTTCATTTGGCCTGTTGTCATGTTCCTGCTCTGCTCCCTCTCATGCACTGTTTAGTATGCTAGGGCCAGAATGACATCATATTCCATCTCCCGGCACCACTGCAGTGTGCACGAAGGAGCATAGCCAGAACATGACACCTCCCTCCCTCACCGCTTGGCTCAATTCCGCACCACCGGCCGCCTTTGCTCTCCCACAGACGGCCGGCCTCCTCCATTCTCCCTCGCCGCCTGTACTAAACAGCCCTGGATTAGGGACTGTAGTAGGGTATAAGGGCAGCAATTGGAGGATTAGAAGCTGTAGTAGGGTATAGGGAAAGCAATTGGGGGGTTAGGGTCTACAGAAGTGTATAGGGGCATTGCAGGATTAAGGGACCTGGGGCACTGCACCCAGACCACTTCAATGAACTGAAGTGGTCTGGGTGCCTATAGTATCCCTTTAGGTCGGAAATTTATTTTGAGTTTTCACTTTAGTAAATAAACCTGACTGTATATACTAGACATGCAGAGATCGTTGTGAATAATCCGTAATCCTGCACAGGTCATACTTATGGAAGTTGCAGGGATATATGACGTTGCCTCACAATTCCAGAAGCCTTTATTTATTTAATCCATATAGTTTGTGCTGCATGTAATTAGGGCCATCCACAAAGATCATTGAATTTTTTGCAAGAATATGTATTTACTTTCACAGCCAAAAGTTGCCTACCCTCTAAGCTGGCGTATAACACTGAGGCTGCCAGGTTTGATACTTATTTGACTCATAGGGTTGGCTGGAAACATCATTTCACCTCTCTAGTCTGCCACTGGCCTATGACCATTTCCCAGGTTGCTAAATGGAAAGTCCATGCTTGCACTAATCCTGCACCATTGCAGTGTCAAGACAAGTGTGCACCATGTACTGTAATGAGATACATCATTGCAAACAGACTATTGCTTAAAGCGATTCTGTCATGTTTTTTTTGTTTCAGTTTTCAATTTTTTATGCTCCTTGGATCTTAATAAGTATACTCCAATCTTTGACACCTGGCTTTATTTCTATTTATCTTTTCTACCTTGTATTGGAACGTAATACCTGGTGCCTCCATTTTGTTCTCCTCTGTCCATGATGTCTGCAGTTTGCCATTTCGTGGGATTCTTTTGACTAATGGATTGTGGGTAAATTAGCGTAGCAACTTAAATTGAATTTTTAATTAATCTTCTCCCATTGCCAATGGTATTTGGCGAAATATCATGCTCCCTTTAGTCCCTACTTTTTTTATGTATGATTTAATAAAGTAGAACAAAAAATAAAAAAAGGAGACAGAAAGGGATTAATGTAAAATCAAAAATACTATTGGTGTGATGGCCAGTGGTGAAGCTAGATGGTTTTTCACTTGGGGCAGAGTCTCGGTTGAGCACCGCTCATTTTTCGTTTCAAGTGACGTCAGCCGGTGTATGCTGGGATCAGTGAGATACCTGCACGCGCCCATCCGCCAGCTTTCCCAACAACCACCACACAGCTTTTAAAGTAATTGTGATGTGTGTGAGGGAGCCTGCTTATGGACTTTGTGTTTTGTGTTTATGGTGAGGTTATGTTTCAATTTTGTAAGGTGACGTTGTATGACGATGGCTATCTTCAGGCTGAGACTGTGACAGGGTGAAGTGGTAAGTGTTACAATGTGGGGGGGTGTAAATTGGACATGGTGAGTGATCGTAACAGAGTTATGGTGTAAGTGTGACAGTATTAGTTCAGCCCTACCGCTGCTGTGAGAGTTGGGGGTTGGGTGTCATTTCTAAGACCCGTCAGAAAAATCTCCTGCCGGTTCGAGGAGAGGTGTGTGTTCAGAGCTGGAGATTATGGGTATCCGGCTGTGCCGGCAGCGGCCCCACAGCCCGCTCTTTAATTCACTGCAGGTGTTTACAAATTTATAAGTCAGCATTTAAAAGTTAATTTGAAAATGATTGTCCTAGCTTCCTTCTTGGGGACTGCACTGTATATCAATGTATTTGTGTTTTCTAATGCTTTATCCATATACAAAAAATAGTCATTTTTACCCCATATTTTTTCCATTTATTCTGCAATTTACTTGACCAAAGTCAAAACCGTCCCATCAGTTCACATGGACAAAAAAGCAGTGTTGCCAGAGATGGGTTGTTATGAGAAATATTAGGCAACTTACTAACTAATACCAATTTATACAACTAGAATGTTATTTACAACAGGAACAATGTATCTTATTTCTATAGCGTGACATCTATTTTTTTTCTTAAATATTTTTTATTGAAAAGTCATCCTGCTTCATCTTAACTGGCCGGCAATAGCGTATGAGTTGAAAATTATTCTTATTCATCTTTTTTTAGCTGCCAAAATTGTGATTGCGAGAAGTTGGAAAAATGATAGGGACGTCCCTTGGGATCAAGTCAGAGCCCCGCTTAAGATTTAAATTAAAATTGAACAAACAAAAATCAAGTAAAAAAGTAACTGTTTGGATGAAGTGTTGGGAGCAGATTAATAAATAGAGTTTTCAGCAAATAAAATGTCTGTCAAAATTAAGTTCCTTACAAATTTAAAGGGAAACATTGTTAGATTGGCTATACTTTGGATAATATAAGATATACAGTCTTACTCGATATGTATTTTCTCCTCTCTCCTTTGCTGCATTGTCCTGTATATGTAGATATGTAAGTTAAATGTATTGTCTTGTTTTTGGTTAGTGAAATGCGTAAAGAAAATTTCCACGGATATATCCATCAAATGGAAGTAATGTTTCCTACCATTTGTATGTAATTGTTGTATTGTATTGTCTTTTATGGAAAAAAATAACCGTTACAGCGTGATATCTAAACATATTTATTGTACTTTGAAGACACTAGTATTATTGCTGTGGAGCTCTGTTATATACTACTCTGTACAATATTCTGTTATACAGGGACACTTGGGACAGAGAAATTTGGGCCCAAAATAGGAACTGTCTCTCATAAACAGGGACACTTGGGATGTATACAATGTGCATTGCTTATCAGAACAATTCCTAAATGTTTGTTTCAGACGCAAGCAGTTATGTGAACTACGTTTCCCATGACGCACAGTCAAGAGAAACGTGTGCGCGCACGGCTTCCCACAGAGGGGGCGCAGCAGTCGTGAAAATCATTACGTTCCCAGCACGTATGTTCGCGTAGGAAGTGCCTATAGCAGGTGAAGGAGGAAATGTCCAGCCCTACCGCTGCGGCAGCCAATGAACGCCACCGATCTCGCAAAACAACGCCCCTTTCCAAACCACGCCCAGGAGAGCGCGCCCGCTCTGATTGGCCAGCAGAATTTGGACACGAAATTCAAAGTGTTTTAAAAAGTTGCTCGAGAGGCGGCTGGCGCCATTTATGGGAAACTCAAAAGCTAGCAGGTCCTTAAACGTTTTAAACCCCACGGGGAATTAAACCCCACTTTTATATATATATTTAAAAAAAAAAAAAACTCGTTATTTTAATTATTCGATTTAATAATCTAAGCATCACCTGAGGGATCGCTGCTCGGAGCGGGTTATTGGGAGCAGCCACGTCCTGGAGAGAGAGAGACGCCAGGGACCTACAGTAAGTGAGGGGTTTAATACCGGGGGAGAGGGGGAGCTCAGCGACTAGAGCAAAATATCATCTTACAACTGCCCATATAGAACCTTTAGTTTATCTTTATTATATATATATATTTTTGTGATGGAGCTAGGGGTGTAATTAATGGAGGGAAGGGGAGAAAGCCTCTTGTAATTGGCTGCACAAAGTAATGGCGGCTGCTTGATTCAATTAAGTTTTGGTATTTCTTCACAATATATTACTTGAATTAACTGATATATGTTATATATAAAACCGTTTAGTTATATATATATATATATATATATAATATGCACTTTATTTGCTTTCAGCTGCATTGTTTCCTTGAATATGAGGCTATATATATATATATATATCCTATGTATTACTGTATTCCTGTCTATAAGCTGGCATGATGTGGTGTTTTGGGTGAGCTGTACAATTTGCCCTGCTTTCATTTTTGGATGTGGGGGTGAGTATCACTGGGGTAGTGATTTGTGAGCCCTGCTGCGGGTATGGGGCACATGCAGTACCATATGGCATAATTATATACCCATGGCAGCAGTGCCAGGGCTGTATACAGGGATAATGTGCCCTTGCCCAATCTAAGCATGCTGGATTTATTTCCAGTTCATGAAAATTTTGTATCGATTATAGCGGCTCACCCGCCAAAACTTTCCCTCCTGCTCCTCCATATTGTGAGGGGGATGGGTGGCTGCCGTCTTGTACCGTCTTAATAAGTTTAAATTAAAACCCACGGATATTCATTATTGCTTTACTAGACCCAGATCCCTAATTATACAGGTCTGTCACCCTAAACTATTGGGTGAGGAGTAAAGCAGCAGTTTTTACCTCCAAGAGTGCTGACTGATGATGGCGCTTTTTTTTACCCCCCCAGCTTGTACTATCTCAATATTTTGCCTCGTTCATTTTAACATATGAAAACAAATCTTTGTTGGTGTTTTCTCTGTTGGTCCTCATGCTATTTTTAAGGCTTTATTTTGTGGCGGGGGTAATTTTAAATTAATGGCCTTAGCTCCAGCCAACTGGATGGAGGGAATTTATTTGCTCAGTGTATGCCTGCTGTATAGCAAGTATAAAAGGCTTAAACCTTCACAAATTTAAAGGCAGACTGTGTTTTAATTATTCAGAATTGGTAGTGTTTTGGCTTGTGGATTTTTGTTCTATATACATTAGGGTAATATTTTAAATGCTGATTTTTTTTTTTTTTTTGTATATGCATATTTTTGCATGTACTGTGTTTAAAAATGATTTCATTCTTTTTTTTTAGTTTTTAACACATAGAACATGTACACTTCCACAGGGGAATTGCATTGTTTTTTTTGTTTTTGTTTTTTTTTTACTGACGAAGGGCCACTAATGTGCATGTGTAGCAAGTGCAGCACAGGCATTGGGCCCTCCCCATAGGAAAGCATTGCATTTATCCATCCCGTGTCGCCGAAGGCGTTAAAACCCCCTTCAGCTACTTACCTGAATCTAGTGCCGATGTCCCTCGGTGCTGGGTCAGGAGACGTAATGCACATGGGCAGCAATGGCTGTGCATGCGTATTAGACCTCCCCATAGGAAAGCATTATTTGATGCTTTCCTGTGAGGAAAATCTGCCTCTTAAAGGTCCGTGAGGAGGAGTGAGATGCGCTGAAGTGGTCTGGGTGTCTATAGTGGACCAAAAGTCAGTTGAAAACAAGGAAGTGCCTCCAATGGATGCAGACTACTGCTGCAACGTAAACGTTGCAGTTTCTCTAAAACCGCAATGTTACATTGCAGCACGAAGAGCAATACACTATAGACCAAGCATGTCAAAGTCTAGCAAGGGCCAAATAAACAAGGTTTTAGTTTGTGTGCCGCAAAAATAAAAACCTTACATTTTCATAGAAACGTAGGTTTATTTTGAAAAATATAGTATAAAAAAAAAAAAGCATCTACCTCTACTAAATCCTAGCACCCCAGCAACCCCCTCTAGCCAACAAGCAGACTGTAACGGCACCCTCAGCATAAAAGGGTAAAACCGCCGTTTAGAAGATCTTCCCCTTCCAGAGACACAGGCACAGCTACTGCAGAACACCAATCCGCTGAACAGGAAACCATATGAATGCCGTAAACAGCCGAATAGGAAAAACCATACGAATAGGTTTACACTCCTGGCAGTCAAACTGGAACAGCATACAATAAATCCCACCAAGAACGAGACAAGGCTCCGTGTTGAGGGTCAAGCAGTGAACAGACAGAGCTGTGGGTTTATTGTTCTTATATGCACATTAGTACCACCCACAGGGTTTTGGAACACAACCAATATACACATACAATACACTCAGACACGCCCACACAAAATCCTCCCCTCTACCTGTGATACAATTACCTTACACAATGGGTAATGTAATTATAACAAGCAGAGAAATACAATTTTTCCACATTATTCATAACTTGAAAAGTATGCATCACATTCACATATAACTTACATTTTCAGAATCAGCATACTCCAAATACAAACATACGTCAAAATCATAAAAATTGGTCCAGTGGTTCAAAAGATAGATCGTAGTCCTTTGTGACCAAAGGAAGCATGGCTTTTCTGCCCAAAACCAGTTCCACAGAGTCTTCTATCCTGGAGATAATTGGGAAGTAATCCAATTATCTCCAAGGACAGAGGCAAAACTCCATTGAACACATGGCAGCAAAAGACAATAAAACACATAAAAACATATAACTGTGCAGCCATTGCACAAAACAGGTACATTCAACATATCCCCAGATAGCTCAGATCTGAGCGCACATTATTACTGAATGGCGCTCAGAGCACACACATACAGTTCAATTGCCATGGAGCCAAAGTCTTTCCCATAGTCTTTCATTATACGAATGGGCTCCATGGCATAGCTATCTGGGGTATCACCGCTCAAACATGGCAAGCTCCAAATGACCCGGCTTTCATGTCATTGTAGGGGAAAATCCAGCGTTTTAACATGGGGCCATAGTCTAAAGGCAACAGGCGGGCAACCAGGCTTCTCCAATGCAATGTGGCGAGATTGGTCTCGTCACACAGACTCTACTCACATTGTTACTGCCAGAATCAGACTCCAGAGTCCAACCTCTGGTATACCCCAAATGGCGCCGTCTGCACCCTGTGCCAAAGCGGATCCTCCCGCTACTTCTTAAAACCCTATCAAGGTGGAGTACGTCAACGTCACATTGGAATGTGACATGGCGTTGCATGTCTCCGTGTACTCTCACTGACCGTGTACTCTCACTGACCGTGTACTCTCACTGACCGTGTACTCTCACTGACCGTGTACTCTCACTGACCGTGTACTCTCACTGACCGTGTACTCTCACTGACCGTGTACTCTCACTGACCGTGTACTCTCTCTCACATTTGCACATTCTTGCACACACTCACATTATTGTATTTATCCCCAGGATCCAGTGGGAGCTCAGCCTTTCTGCTCCTCACTGCTCCCTCGCACGCAGTTTAGTGATGCTGGGTGCTGAAATATGTCATATTCCGGCATCACTACAGAGGGCGTGAGGTGCAGGAACACTGAGCTCCTTCTTAACATCCATCTACTCTCCTCCCCGGCCAGGTAAATGTTAGCAGAGTAGGCACCTGCAATGTGGAGAAAGCAGGTGCCTACCCTGCTTGGAACACGAAGCATGTACTTGCGGCTCGCCAGGCCGCAAAGATGTCCATTGTTGGCCGCATGCAGGCAGCGAGTTTGACATGCATGCTATAGATACACAGACCACTTCAGCTCATTGAAGTGGTCTGGGTGCAGTGGGATGAACTAAAGTGGTCTGGGTGTCCATCGTGTCCCTTTTGAATCAACATCTAATGGCTGTTGTTCTGACAGCCACTAGAGGTGTTTCTGTGGCAATGACAGTAAAATTTGGTCACATGACACGAAAGCACACATAGGAATGCATTAATTCTCTGAGGAGCATTGGTTTGGACGATTATGGAAGATGCCATGTCTCCTTCACAATGTTGTGGAAGGATTAGGTAAGCAGTGCCTAAGGAGCCTCGGAACTGGAAAAGGTAAATAAAAAATCGTAGCCTCTTTCTTGGTCCTGTCGGGTGCTAGCTTGCCAAGCAATTAATCAATCTTTTTTTTATTCCTTCAAGCCACTTAAATTGTTTTACAAACTGATTGGATTGGCAAGAAAAGTGCAATACAAAGAGCTCTAGTGGTTGTTCTCAGGATTTTATCTCACAAAAAAAGGAACAATATGTAAATCTGCTTTATTGTCTGCAGTTTACAATGTGTAATTTTATTATGATTAATGGCTGACAATATATTCTTTTTTTTTTTTTTTTCCAGATAGGTTAATAACAATTTGCATCACGTGTAACAAAATGAAGTGTGGTTTTAAAAGTAATCAAACGCCAACAAAGATGTCTCCAAACAAAATAAATGCAGCTAACGCTAAATTGGAAGCCAGTCCACTGAAGCATGAACAAGACTCTTGTAAAAAATGTGAACAATCACAAGGTTCCCAACCAGACAGTCCCCTTAAAAAAGTATCTCCAAGACGTTTGGACTTTGCTACAGAAAACAAACCTCTCTACAACAAAGAGAATCATTTGCAGAGGTTTAAAGAAGTTGAAACACAAAATCTAGAATTAAGTGATTTACAAGACAGTGGTTACTCTTCCATATTACATGACTCTCCATACCAAAATGACGAGGATATTAACTTCTTGATTCCTCCAGTGTGCGAGACACCAAAGCTCTCTTCACTACACAAAACAACTGTACAAGCCACATCTGCAAGTCTATTTCCAGTTATTCACTTTGAGGAAGTGGTTTGTTCCACGTTAAAGAAAAGTTCAAAAAGAAGTCCAAAAATAGATTGGAATCTTATTGATGAAGTAGTCTCAAGAGGAAACTTTGGGCTTGAGAACCTAATTGGTAAAAATATGGGTTTGGATCAAATGGATATTCTTGGAGAACTTTTTAGGAGAGACTTTAAACATATACTTGCCAAAATTCTAAGGCATCTCGGTGCAATTGACTTAATAAAGTAAGTATTTAGTCATTACACATTTATTTTGTAACTCTTAAATACAAAGAACAATTAGGTAACATGCACTTATGAAGGTTGTCACTTTGATGGAATTGGACTTTCAATAATAGTCCATAATGTACAGTTTAAAATATTTTGATGCAAAAACTTGTATACTTGGGGATACCACTCAATTGTCTGGAGAGCAATTCATACAAGCACAGCTTGAATACTTGTTTCTCTGCATTCTCAATCATCACAGGCACAGTACACATCTGGACTAGGATGCAGTAGCATAAAATGGGGAGACCTTGTACTTTTTTGAATTCTAGAATTAACCTTTGTAATATTATACTTCAATGTACAGTCAGCACTATATCCAGTACAACCTGGTGGCCATCATGTATCGGTAGAGTGGTTAACCGCTACTCTAACTCTATGGCTATGGTGCAAATTGTATCTTAATGGCTTAATAAAAAACTTGGCGGTCTTTTCCACCACTTCCTGCTAACCTACATCTATCGCTTTATCATGGCCTAAATTGGGACATCAGATTCCTCCTATGCAACACAGAAGTGTAATGTCTTGGAAATTGCCATACATGTGTTGCATCATAACTAACAAAATGCTGTAATGGTGCTTAGTGTCCCTTAACATTTGCCTCTCATTTGCAGCATAACTAAAGTGTAAAGGTTAAAAAAAAAACAAAAACCATTCTTTTAAAACCAGAACTACATCTTACAGGAAAACTAGAATGCCCTTCGGCGCTGGTTCATGCTCTGTCTCCGCTCCTCCCCTGTCGACATCAGCTGGCAGAGTATTTTGCCACACATGTGCAATAGCCTCTGAACGCTTTCCTATGGGAAACCATTGGATTTGCTAAGATTCAAGTTTGATCTCCACCAAGGAGCGGCGGGGGAGGGGCTGTGACGAGATCCATATGGTGCTGTAAGAAAGGCGAGTAAACTTGCCTTTTACTTTAAAAACAGCTGAAATGGAACAAGATGGCGCTATAGTCTAATTGAAAGTGCAAGTGCTCATAAATAATTAGTGTCACCATTAGGCATGCAGCAAACTAAATAAACCCTGGTAAAAAGATCCTAGATAAATACTTGATAAATTGGTGAACAAACTATTTAAATATTCTATATACAGTTCACAATCTAGAACGTATATCATAAAATAGAAACTGTGTATAAGAGATCACTAAAATACACACAGGTGTGTAGCACAATCGCCAACGTGTGAATTGGCAAAACCTATAGATATACTTGCACAAACTAAATATATTCTTTCATAAATCTGCACAAGATAAAAGTATGGAGAACATAGTGCAATATTGTAATACATTAAAAGATAATAAAGACTTTTTTTTTTTTTTTTAAATGCAACTCACAAACATGGCGTTATAGTGATTATCTAAATCACTCACCACCAGCTGATAACCATGTTTCCAAAACTTTATTCAAACTTAACTCTTCTGTCTTCTTGGATCCACTGATATTCACACTGATAGCTGTAGCTCACAGTTTACCGGGTTCGGCATGCAGCATTTTTCTCCCCGCGTCCTGGTGCTTTGTCAAGCTTAAGGTGGTTCCTCCCACTGCAGTCAGTTTTATAGCGATCCAAATCATTAGGTCTTTAATATCTTTGGATATAAAGTCTGTGGGTTATTCTTAAGAGACATTATTAAATTGGTTTTAAGTAGATTTTGAAATTATAATTATCCAGTTAGTAAAATACACATGTAAACTAGATAAGGAAAGTGTTAGAAGAGGAAATGAATCCGTAACCTTCATTATCTGAAAGGACAAAAAGGAAAGATTGTCTAAACAACTCTCAATATTCAGACCAAAAATGAGGGAGGGATTTATAGGAATCACTATTAAAAGAGAAGGTATTCCATATAACTTAAAATTACTTATCAAAAAAAGGATAGCCTAAATCACATTAAAGGACCACTATAGTGCCAGGAAAACACTGGTTTTCCTGGCACTCTAGGGTCTCTAGGTCCCCTCCACCCTAAGGGTCACCCTCCCGCTGGGCTGTAGGGGGTGGATGGGGTTAAATCTTTTTTCCAGTGCCGGTTACCTCGGTGGTGGGGACTCTCCTCCTTTTCCTGTCTTTGGCTGAATGCGCATGCGCGGCACGAGCCGTGCGCATTCAGCCTGTCCATAGGAAAGCATTCTCAATGCTCTCCTATAGACGCTGGCGTCTTCTCACTGTGAAATTCACAGTGAGAAGCGAGGAAGCGCCTCTAGCGGCTGTCAATGGGAGAGACTGGATTAACCCTAATGTAACTCACTCCGGCACTCAGCAGAAAGGGTTAATTCTAGATGGACCTGGCACACAGACCACTTCATTAAGCTGAAGTGGTGTGGGTGCCTATAGTGGTCCTTTAATAAAACATAAAATTCAGTGTAATATAACCTCTATAAAATAAAACTTCTAAGTATAATTATATCATTATCATATATGCAAATAAAATATGACCAGCAAAGAGCCAGGATAGAAGAGAAAAAAAAATACTAACTAAAAAAGGGAGGATTGTTTAAGCCACTCACAAAAGAATACCATTAAAAAAAAAATTACATAATATAAAACTATTCAATGCAATAAAATATAGCAAAGCTATCTAAAAAGAGAATGAGAAGCCAAAATGGCATCCCTGATCACACACGCACACACACACTACCTTGCTGACAGTGGTGCCAGATACCTAGATAGCTCTAGTAGAACTATACTGTCAGGAATGCATGTTTGTATTCCTGATACTATAGTGTTCCTTTAAATAGTTTTCATTTTTTCTTCTCCATATATCTGTTTGCTAGTAAATCTGCTTGCACAATGTATAGATACACTTTCATGCTCTTTCCAAAGAACATAAGTAGTTTGGGGTCTGAGTCCCCTTTAAACCTGTGAGCAGGTGATTAGCCGCTGCATCATATTGTATTAACATGCTAAGTTGCTCATTCCTTCTTATGAATGCTCCCGTTGCTCTTCCTCATTTAAAAGGTAGAAGATGGCAGTAATGATGTTTGGCAAATCAGACGTGCTTAGCTTGTCCATGAAAATGAAAAAAAACAAAATAACTCTAACGTGATTGTCTGGTTGTATGCGGAATTCTCAGTACTGCATTTATTGAATTAAACTTTTATGCTTGGAAATGCTTTAGCTATACTGTAAAAATAAAAATTCACTAAGCAGTATGTCCTTTTTATTTACAGTGTCATTAGTGTGAGTACAACATGGAAAAAAATCTTGCACAGAGACAGCATGGCTTACAGCACTTATAAAGCAGCATGGAAGGAACTTTGTGTAAGAGTTTGAATTTTTTTTTCAAAATGTTATCTGGCTGCACTGAATGTAACACTTGTGCATTGTTATATTCCTTCCAGGGCGTGTTGGGAAACTGGAGGGGCTGGCTACGTAAAATATAATATTTAGGTTCACTTTCCACTCTGCAATGACTAGTGGACAAATTGATCTGTATTTAATGCATTAAAATATATTTACAAAACATGAATTAAAAAAAAAAAAATAAATACAGCTACTGGCTACCCAGTACTAAGTATTTCCATCTGTCTTAGTGTCAGTGTGGGTGTTTGTTTTTGTTATAAGATGGATACCATTGGAGCCCACCCATTCCTTCTAAAAATATATTGAGTTTGTGTAGTAATTAAAATGCTCTAATGCAGTCGGTAGCTGCCTCTATCAGTCATTCTGTTTTAGTGTCATTGCAGTTACTTAGGCTCCAGATTGTACCAGCTGTAGCATATTCTCAAAATGTTAGATTTTGACTAAATGTATTGTATTTTTTTCCCCCCTCAAATCAGGAAAAAGAAGCAAAATTTAGCGTGCATACAGCAACACGTGATTCTTCTCTTGGCCGTTTACCTCTTGCTTCAGTTCAAAAAATAGCTAGTGCTTCTTGCTGTATTAAGTCTACGAAAAAATCAAGCAAGAAATGCAAAGATGCAGAGTCTTCAAACCGCAGACATGCAGAATTCAGTGAGGTAAGACCTCTATCTGATTTTCATTTGTAGAGGCAGGCCAATGCATACTTGTAGTTCAGTATTTGGTGCTGATTCCAAGGTTAGCTTCCTGCATTTCCAGTAAGCTTCCGAAGTGTGTTCTCACCACATTCCAAGTAGAATTAAAAAAAATAAATGCAAAATCTCATTTTGCATAAGAGATTTACCAAACCATACAGAAAATTCTAACCACTGGCACACTCCCAAGGGAAGTAATCAAAATGTTTGAGAAAAGTTTGACAACCTTCCTGGACCCACTGGATGCTTCTACAAGGATCTCCTGTTGCTTCCAATGAGCTATGCACTGCGGTGGAGGGCCAGCTCACTGGCTGAGTACTATGAGCCAAACTCTCAAACTGCTTGGCTTTTTTCCATGGGATGGTGCCAGGCATCCTAACCGCTACAGCAGAATTTGATCACTTTTGGGGAGTAATCTACTAAAGCTCATTGTTAGGGTTAGAAATAGCATTTGGCACTGATCATTATGGTGAGAAAGGTCATGTCACTTTACCAAATAACATCTCTGGGAAGAAAACGGACATATCAAAATAGAGTACTCTCTAATACTGTGAGCTCCCCAAGATACACATGTGGGGTATTGCCTAGTTCTCTGTAATTCAACTTAAGGCCATGTGTCTTATTTCAAAGACCTCTTCTTATGAGGCTGGAGTTGTAACAGTTACCACTTAATTTGCCAGAAATTAACAGGTGAAAAGTTTAAATAAGGGAATCCATTTACTTATTTTTGTATAGATAGTTTTCTAAAAATGAAACAGTTGACACTTATTTTCCTTTAATTATATATCTATGCTAAAGGAGCACTCCAGACCACTAAAGCACTTTAGTTTGGTGAAAAGGTTTATGTGAATTATTTTTTTATTTTGTTTTTTTGGGAAAAAGTTCAGCTTTTAATAGAAATTTACACTTTTTAATGCTGGCTATGCCAATCTGGCTTTTCAAGCAGGCAACTGATCCTGTTACTTCCTGGTTTGGTTAGCTTAATTGCACTGAACTCAAGAGGCAGCAATTGCCCAAAGCACCTGCCTTGCAAAAACTGCTCATTGAGAAGCAATGGGAAGTATGTGTTAGGACTACCATAGAAAGTCAGGACTGGGTTAGAGAAGGGCTTGTAAAGGCAGCAGACAAGAGATCTACAGTTTTTGCAAGATGCTTTTGGTTAAAACTCCAATTTAAAAATGGATAATTGCATGCATGTATTCATTTAGGGTATATCTACTAAACAGTGACATTTATTTTGTTTTTGGGCAGTGGAGTGTCACTTTAATGTTGTGTATACATGTAGAGAGTATTTGAAGAAAGCGCTACCCCTCCTTTAAAAGTGTGTATTTCTTTGGTTGCATTTCATAGGAAAGTACAGTGGAACAAACTTACGGCAAAAAGACCTCACAAACACATGGGATTTCTAAAAAATAAAAAAAACATTATGGGGATACATTCGTTTTTTTCACAAACAACAATTTGAGATCGTTGTTGCAGTGCTTTTTTTAATCAAACTTTCTTTTCCTTTGATCACAGATTGCAAAAACCCTGAAAAATGACCAGAGCCTTAAAGTGTGTAGAGACTGTGGATCTCCTGCCAAATATGACTCTTATCTTCATAGAGCCATTTGCACTAGAGAAAGCTGTAAAAGTGACTTTTGCACACTCTGTCTCTGTGACTACCACTTTTCTAAAAGCTGCACAAGTAACAAACCTCAGGCACATCGATATTTATCAGGACCTCTTCCTGGGAGTAAAAAGAGCAAACAGAACTTAAGGAGGCTTTAAATGTTCTTAAAGAATGGACTCCTATTAACATCCCAGTAGAAATGGGGGGAAAAGACTAAATGAAATATAATTTTATATTTATTTTTCCTTTTGGACATGAAAATACTCATTCAACTTTTTATATATATTTCAAAATTTATTTATTTATATTTTCGTTGGTACTGTTTTATTCATTCATCAGTCTAGTATTAAGACAGTTAAAAAAAAAAAAAATTCAAAAATATATATATATATTTTTTTAATTGACCAAAGTTCAAAAAGTTATGTTTTAAATAGTGATATATTTTATAGAGATTCACTAAGTTTTTAAAGGTTAGTGTGAAACCTGACCTTTTGGGTTTAATTAACAGGCTAACACACCAGTACCTAGTGTAAATTCTCAATACTGTTTCTTGCCAGGGTTTAGCTTTTATCAAAAAATGAAATCTATTCTTACATTTTGCAAATACTGCCTTGTACATACCTGTAAATATTTTTATGTATTTTTTCATGGTTTTTTTATTTGTTCACGTGTGCAATATTTGTTTTGCACTATGTTAAATAAATTAAAATACTTGACTGAAAACTGGTATGAATGTTGGAGTTCTGTAATGGCTTGTTATTAGTCAGGTTTCATCTATGACTCTCGTGCATATCTACAAATAGTTTCTATGAAAATGATACGCATCCATTTTATTTTCGACAGCCAATCACAAATTCCTTTTTAGATGTCAGTTTTATTTTGGCTTTTTATTTATGATCAAACAAACTTGGATTACAAATCTGCTACAGGATATTATGTAAAACATTGATATCACAAGACCCAGATTGTATGTATATTATTTAATTGGGAAAATACCAATTCAAAATTTAAGTTTCTCTTTCTATACTGTGGCACTCCGTTAACTAAATTACTTATGCTATTACAAAACTCAAATTTGTTATGACTGGTCTAAAAGTAAATTTCCTCTCCAAGCTTTCTTCTATGATGTAACTTCTTAATTGAATAGGCGCTAGCAACACACACAAAACATTGGGTATGGTTAATATCATGGTAGAGGGAAGGGGTGGAGGTGGATGTATCTCTGTATATTATTGCAGGTTAGAGACTGGCCAATGGCTTTATAAGTTGTCTGAATATTTCTGATGGCAGTCCTGACAACAGTGTGTGTACACTTGTTAAAGGATAACTATAGGGTCAGGAACACAAACAAACATGTATTCTTGACCCTATAGTGTTTAACCCAACAATTGTGGCTTGCCCCCCTATAAAAGTGTAAAGCTCGCTTTATTTCCAGCATGACGCAGGTCCGCTGGCTCTGCCCACTTTGTGACATCGAAATGGCTGATTTTGGTGGGGGGTGAAATGCCGTTTTGGCCAATCAGGACCTCATAGAGGTGCATTGAATCAATGCATCTCTGAGGAAAATTCTGCGTGTCTGTGTAGAGCGTGGGGACACTGAACGATAGGGCTGCTTACTGTGCAACCCTAAGCCAGGAAGTCCATCCAGTGGCCACTTGGAGGTGTCCCTAGGGGCAATGTAAACACTGCCTTTTCTGCCTTAATCTTGTAAAATGAGGCTGAACTTTCTAGGAGTTTCTCATGTATTAACCTACAACGTGTGCATATATTTATATATGCTGCAGTGACGCATTTTCTCTGCCTATATTGTATCTCAAATCTGCCTTGATAAAGAGATTGACATAAAAAGCTATATAATGTTTGTACACCAATCTTCATTAGAATGTCTGAAACTCTGATAAAGCTATGGGCCTCTCCAACATTGCCAGGTGGGCAGCATGGTTTAAGAAATGGTTGGCCGATTCAGCATCCATAAACTCCCTGTGTGATTTACCCCCCTTTGTACAGGGAAGACTATTTAGGTCACATCTGGATGAGTTTCTGAAACAGATGGCAGAAGAGAACTTTACTGGAAAATCATCACCAAGACAAAGTGGGATAAAACCACCTTCTACACAGAAACAGATCTTCCTATAGAAAATCCTTCCAGTAGGATTCAGAGGCAAACATTTGACTAAGGACAAGGGCAAAGGAAACTTCCCTGAGAAGAAGTATTGCAGATAATGACATCATTCCAGTGGGAGGAAGAATTCTGGATTATTTTGTCTGTCTAGAAAAGTACCACCATAGACATTTGGGTCTTGTCTATTCTAAAAAAGGCTAACAGTTGGAATTATCTAAAATATCTCAATAGGTTTTTTTTTTGTTCACCCCACCCATTGTAATGGGCAAATGCAAATATTACAAGTTTTAGAATGAAATGTATTTCTTAAACTGTATACTTTGTCTTTAAGAGATATTGCAAACTGACAAGGTGTTAGAAATGGAACATATTGTTTCTCATAACTGTTTCTTTAAGCAATAACCTCCTCTTACCTATCTTCAGTGCATAATATGTTTACGCCATTTTGTTCCAGACGAATTACAATAACAACAATGCATAAACAAGCTTCAAGGCTATGCTACGACTCTTTCAGTACACAATATAATGTGGTAACCCTAAGTAGATAAAGATGTTCAGACTGTAAGATGCCACCTTGAACCAAGTCAGGAAAATTTCCATGACGTATACACCCTTTAGTTATGAATTTATTATTTTTGCCAAGTTAAGGGAGGTCCTAAAATGAATAAAGTAAAGTTACTTTTTCATATATAAACTACGGTGATCCTAAAATGACAACAAATAAGGTATAAATAGGTGTACTTTTAAAGGCTAGGGAAGGGAGGAGAGACTTTGAGACAGACGCTGCTCCATCTTAAAATGACAGAGAGGATGACATGTTCAGGAGGGTATGTTAACCTATTAATGATATTTGCAAGCACTTAGTTTAATCTTATAAACTCTGCTATATGGATTTTGTCTATATTTTTATATTTTTTATATAATATCTAAAAAAAAACAAAACTTTATTGCTTCAAAGACAATCCTTAGTTTATATTGTATTCTCAATTATTTATATATATATATATATATATATATATTAGAGGATCTCTTACTAACTATATAATATTTTAGCTAAGATAACTGTATGGTTAGCCCTGCTAAGTTCTATGCTTTGACGTTCTAGTGGAACCAGCCGCGGTTACACCATACACTCTCTCAAACCTAAACGATACTATCACACCAATCGTGTGAATAGTGTGAAATAAGTATGCAATATACTTTTCAGGTAAATCAAGTAAAAGATCAAATAACCATCTGTAATTTACTTTGATTTTATGGTTAACCATCTGTGAATTAGGGATACAGTGTTCCTTTAGCTGACAAATTCAGCAAAAAAGATACACCAAGATGGATTACAGGGGTACTAAAAAGGGCCTAACCCTTATAACAATAATTAAACAAAAAGAAGGTGAGGAGTAAGGATCCCTTAAACATGGGAGACAGAACAACTCACAGCTAGTACCCCTTGTGGAGCAATAAAGAGTGCACTTAACTCCTGTGTATTAAACAGATTAAACAAAAAATAATAATAAAGTTTTAATGTAGTCCAAAAATAATAATAAAAGTCTGTAATACACTCAACTGTTACAAATGGATAAAAAAGGACCTGGAGAGTCACTCTGGGCTGCACATAACTATATACTGTGCCTGGATACTACGTTGCCACAAAAGTAGCAACAGTGTAAAAGTAGCAGAAAAACTATTCGTAATAGGCACCAGTGCAATAATGTGCATAGATAATTGTGCTAGCAAAACAGGTGAGATCTACACTTACGGTCCTAAAAAAACACACAAACAAAATCTCCACTATTGCATATCAGGGTTGGGAATATAAAGTATAATATAGCGTCCTAATGTGAGGTATAAATATGACTATTGGCCTCAGCCAGTCTAATGACAAATGGTTAAATCGAAAGGACAGAGAGATATAGAGTTAGGAGATCGAAAAATAAAGGTGGGAAGGTAGTGAAAGTATAATTCAGTATAGGGCAAATCGCCCAAATCTGGCCCCCCACAGTTGTAGCAGAAGCCCAACGCGCGTTTCGGCGGTAAAATCCGCCTTTCTCAAGGGTAGAGTAGTGTGCAAGTTCCTCTCCTCCGTCCCCTCCCTTAAAAGCACTCACATTTGGCGCCAAACTATAGACCGCCCATCGCCGATGGGCTGTACCTCAGTTTTGCAACGCCCTTTGAGTGACTCATTCGTGGGAAAACCCTCAATTACGTAGGTAGAACCGGGTACTACTGCGCATGCGTCAGATGCCGGCACTCGGTCCGTGCTGTGCGCATGCGTGCGCAGTCTGCCGGTATCGGAGGGGTATATTACAAAGTGTCAATTGCTTGTATCCAAGTGGCATCCAGCCGAGGGATACAAGTATATAAGTTGCATAAAATACATATAAACGATCCTATTGTCTTGATCGTCCTTTTAGGATAGTAGGATTCAATGTAAGGTCACATTACATATGTATATATATAGCGCTAAGTGCATAGAATTGACCAACAGGTCTAATACAAACAAGCACAATATAGATAATATACAGCTATACATTTATATACAGTACATCCATATTCCCATTGAAGGGAGGAAAATCCTAAATCGTCTATACATATTTTTTTTTTTTTTACAGGACACATCGATGGTCCCATTAAGGGACAAAAGGGAGGAGACAAAAATAGGAGAGGTTTGTAAATAAAGTATAGACAATAGTGTAAAATATTACATCAATCATTCATAGTTATGACAGGTTTTCTTAGGGTAAGAACTGTCCATAAAATACGGCTCGCATAGATGCATATATAGATGTACATATATATACAGACACATATATCCACCATAGCAGCTCAGAGGAATGGAGCAAAAGAAAAGCCCTCATTTAGACCCAAGGGTTGCAATGTCTTGAGTCTATAGATCCATCTCTGTCTCAATAGGCGATCATAATTCCCCCGCCTCTGATGTCTTTTAACCAATTCAAGACCACAGAACTTCAAACCACCAGAGTCACCCCGATGGTGTTCTTTTAGGTGTCTTGAAATTGGCGTTTCGAGGCGGTTCTTAGGGGACCTGACATGTTCCATTATCCTTTCTTTGAAGGCTCTAAAGGTTTTGCCTATATATTTTTTTCCGCATGAGCAAGACAGGAGGTAAACCAGGCCCTTCGTGTTGCAGTTAAAGAAGCTTCTAATCTTAACCGAGACTCGACCGGTACTATCAGTAACAAC